ACTAGGGGATTAAAATGATTAACAAGTTTTGTTTACAACAGGTAAGAATCACAACAACTGGGTTTCTAGATAATCTGTGGGAATAAGACACTGATGCACATGTAAATGTAGTTTTGTTGTATTAGCTGAAAGGTGGTGATGTGTGATGGTTGCACCAACATACTCATTGACCCCAGTGTGAATAGACAAGTCTGTCCCACAGTTCCACACCTGTGAAGAGATGTGCAATGAGGTGTTAATCAATGTGTATCACCTATATACAATGATATGTTACCACGCCCTCCTCTGTGTTATATAGTGTCTCTGGTGTCTTAAGACCAGACGTTGACGCATGTTTGAAAGTTGACTTAGTATGGTAGCATTTGAGCACGATAACTTTATGTATTCTATTTCTGGCTTAAGAACTTTACTGCTATGTGTAGTGTTTGATGAGTAAAGTGGGTTAGAACTTTGATAAGAATGTGAAGAGAGATTGCTCTAAAATATATAGAGTTCAGAAATTAATTTGCTGGTTCCCTAGGGGTGGTGGGGTAGCCTAGTGGCTATAGCGTTCGCTCGTCACGCCGAAGACCCGGGTTCAATTCCCCACATGGGTACAGCCCACATGTGAAGCCCATTTCTGGTGTCCCCCGCAGAGATAATGATGGAATATTGCTAAAAGTGGCATAAAACCTCACTCACTCACTCACTCACTCACTCACTCACTCACTCACTCACTCACTCACTCACTCACTCACTCACTCACTCACTCACTCACTCACTCACTCACTCACTCACTCACACTCACTCACTCACTCACTCACTCACTCACTCACTCACTCACTCACACTCACTCACTGGTTCTCTAGACTGACAGCTCTGAAAATACCAGCACACTGAATATTTTGGTCCAATAGGGTTGCAGTTTATTGGTACACAGCCTACCAGTAAACATGATAAAATATTGAAGGTTGACTGAAACTGATATAGAGGGTCCAATAAAAGTGTCATTGGAACCATTAAAATTAATTCCAGGTGCCTGAAGGGACATCTAGATATCATGTTGTCTCAAAACAATACCTAAGCCAAAGTTTATTACGGGTTTATGGAACCATGCATTGAAACACATGGAAGTTGATGGGAAATGAAAGTGGTAATGTGTGATAAGTCCAGCCAATCAGAATACAGGAATTAGAATGAACACACAAAAATTTAATTATATGCACTTAAAAACGATGCTAATGTAATGTGAATGCATAGGGGTACATCTCATAGTGGAATAAGGATGTGGTAGATGAGTAGTCAGATATGTGGAGAGACGGTAAAAACATAAAGTAACTGACAAGATACTGAGTCTGTCTGGTTTCGTTGGGCTTAAGAAACTTTTACTAGACTCAATAGTCACAACATAGCTTACATCACTCCATAGAACTTGAAATTCTACCTGCCATTACGTTAAACAAACTGATCATGGTACAAACTGTGAAGCCTCTAGCCTGAAGCCTAAATCCAGTATGTTTTTCTTCGTAAATCTAGCTAATAATCCTAAAATAGCAATAAAATCTGCTGAAAATGGTGCCATGATTCAAGTACGGGCTAGTAGACTCAGTAGCCTTCTGGTAAACCTATACAACATGTACAAGCAGTGCATAGTGATTAACTCTCAAACGATGATGATGATCTGAATCACAGCAATAAGACAATACACACTCATATTTAATTGCTGTTATCAGTGATGCTTATTGACCTGGAACATTTAGCCTGAATAGTCTTGGGTCCTGGGGGGGTGGGTATCCAGGGTGACGATGACCTCTTGACTATTGTGATTAACGTAGAACACTGGCTAAGTACAAGCACACCAACTACAAGACCTGAAATTCTACTTGCCTAAGCGGTAGACTTTGCATCCTGGAATAATATTTATTTGCAAGTAGTAATTTTAATAATTTTAATTTAGTTTTAATAATTTTATTTTAATTTTAATTTTTCTGCCACTAAGTTCACAACGGACCATACTGTGTTCAAAGTTCAGAGTGAAGAGCAAAAGCCCTTATTAATAAGTCCCATTGGCCAAAGGCAAAAGTCCCAAGGGATTAAAGCCCCACAAAGATGAAAGTCCCTGAAATATTAAGAGCTGTTTGACAAAAAAAAAATAACATTGGAGTACTATATCAAGGTGAGCAGTGTGTACACCAATCCAATTGATTTATGAGGCTTAGTGGAGTCAAGTGACTGAATTCTGAAGGAGGTAAATATGATTTCAGACAGTGAACTATACCATACAACCATGTGGCTGTTGAAGAATAGTAAGGGTGGTGTTAAAGCCGTTAGACAATCATGTTGATTGGATGTTTATAAAGCATTGCATTTTCAGTGATTGTTGTTGTGGAAGAAGAACAACATTATGTTTGATGGGAGCAGGACAAAAGCCACCCTGATATACATTTTTATGTTTCACTTAACAAATAAGGGTTTCTTATCCTAATAGTGTCTAGGTGGGCTTATAACCGATGTATTTTTTTATTCACAGTGTACTTTGTCTGCCTCCCGAAATCAAGAGTGTGGGTGTAGGGGGTAACCTGGGATCCTGTAAATCAGCAGTCTGTTATAAACCCATTTGAGTGTGCTCGTCTCAACTTGGCCTTATTTTTGGGGTTTTGTTTGGTGTTCCATCAAAAATAGATCATAATTTTACAGCTACTTGACAGCTTTCTGTCAATAGTCAATGCTGTACCAGACAATCCAGTGATTGACATGATGAGCACTGATCTACACAATTTGGGATAAAAGGATATGCATGAACATATTATGAAGCAAGTCAGTGAGCCTGTCCTCCATATCCTGTTAGTCGCAATCACACGGGGTGCTGAAGAACAGTTTGAAGCCAGATTTTCACAGATGATATTATTACAATTACTCGTTTAATCTTTTAAACATTTTTTATAACTTTGACCAATGCTAGATGTGGTGGTCCACAAGGTACTATCACTTGTCCCTTCTTAATTATACTAATTTTGGATTAGTTAACATATGTTGATTTTAAACCCTGGGTTTATCTGTAAGGTATTTCTACTGCTTACATAACACTCCTCAAGCAGCCTGTTGGTATGCTGACATTGTTATGTTGTTGTTGATTGAATGTTAATTGCGTGTACGCACCGGCTAAGTGCTATGCACGGACTGCAGTATCCAGCAGTTAGGTGTTGGCTTTGTGTAACTAAATTGATTAGGTAATAACACCCTGTTATTTACTGATCAGAGGTGCCTGGATTAAATGTGTCAATCAGAACACACTGTCAGCAGCATTGATCTTGGTAACTGACAGGAAGCAAATTCAATATTTCCATTTACCAGTTATTTTCTGTGTTTGTGTATCTGTGTTTCTGGCGATGATTGAAAGCTGCCGAAAAGAGGATAATGAACACTGATAGTATAACCATGTTGTTGCCCTCTCAGGAGTCTGTATTGGGATTATTACAGTAAATCCTGCTTGTCTAAGACGGATTGTTACCATTAATATCGTCCAGCTAATATATATCTGGATTATTAATGTTAATGATCACTTTGGATTAGGGATGCCACGATACATCAATACCTTTTCTAAGACGGTACAATTATTGATACATTAAAAACTGTATCAATATTTAGTTGTGAAAGTATCGGTTTAAATATGTTTATGTGTCTTTTACATTTTGCAATTGTATCATGTTTTTTGGATGATATGAGAGTTATAAATGATTATTTTTCATGCTCAAAGATGGGAAATAAGAACTCTTTAATCTCTGAGAATAAAAAATGTTGATCTTTTTATGGACAATTATAAAATATGAAATATTAATATTCAAAATGTAACTAAATTTACGCAATAATGCCCCGAAAATAGGTATCGTGATATATATCGAATCGTGACATGGGTATTGTGATGCATATCGATTCATGAAACTTATGTATACATCATGTAAGTGATGGGTTTTCTTGATTAATGAGTAGGAAATCCATTACTTACGAATTGATTGCCGTCGTTTTGCGCCAATTGACAAAAAAGCAAAATAAAAGTAGAGGCTGTGTACAGTGGGTTTTATTTTTTTCGTTTTTAAGTCTATTAAGTGTCAGCTGTAACAACTTCACATACTGCTCAATCATTTTATTACTCAAAAGAACTGGAAACAAAAATCATTGATATTACTCATCACAATAACACAAGAGCATCATGAAACAGTAATCAATAGTTAGTGTGTCCCTGTTATATAGTTTTTATATGGGAATATAAATGCAGCAGAGTCACTTGCAGTTCATTTATTGAGCAGTAACAGTTTGATAGCATAATATGATGATGATTTTTCATCACTAAATATGTTGTGTAAATGACTATACAAGGGGTTCCATGGGCATTGAGAATTTCTCTTCTATTTGAATACGGGACCCCTAAACAACACTGAATCTACTTTTGTATCAGTAGTGTCAAGAATTTGTTGACTTTTAATTTTTAAATCTGTATACAGACACAGATGAAGAAAACTGGCCCATTCGTTCAGTCTAAGTAAAATTAGGCTCAGTATTATTCGTTACACTGCTATACTGAGTCTAACAAACCCTAAGTAGAAGGTCGCATCAGCTAGCCTTTTGAATTGACCAATCAGAACACAGCTTACAAAATCGCACAAGTTAACATTCGCACATACCGTGTGAACCTTTACCTCGAAAATATTTATACTCGAACAATTCCAAATGCTGTTTTTCGCACAATCGCTTCTAAGTGATACACATGGAGGACGCCATTATTCACAACAGTGAGTTAACAGTCGCTTAAAATAGCGTTTTCTTTTTCAATAATCCAGGATGTCATCTTGTGGAAATATACGCTAATGGCAACCATGTCATCAGAAACCCCTAAGCATATATATACTGCAGGTCAAATATCTGTGTTTTATGCTGATTTTCGTTTGTTGAGAGATCAGTGTCAGCGACCTGGAAAGAGAAAATCCTAAAACATTTTGTAAGTCCCACCGAACCCTAAACAGTAGCTGTCTGATTGGTTGAATCCGTTTGGCCGTCTCACGTTTGATTGGAAGGTCATAGGGCGCTCAAGGGTTAGCTGACGTGACCTTCTACTAGGGTTTGTTAGACTGAGGTCAGTATAGCAGTGTAACGAATAATACTGAGCCTAAGTTTACTTAGACTGCCCATTCATTTGAGCAGCACCAGGCTAATGTCAGTCTGTACCATGCCTACATTCACATTAGACACTTTCCAATAATCTACTCTTTTTCAAAGCTCTATTCTGAAAGTGGAAACCATTAGTATGTAGAATGTTAATGATTAGACAGTTTTCATATGCAACAAGATATCACTTTTTGACCTGTTTAACAAAAGTCTTTAAAGAAATACTATTTTAGTATACATGCTTTAAGCCTGGTAAGAGACCCAGTCTAAACTGTCTGGTAAAGACCAAGTCTTGACTACATGGTAAAAGACCAAGTCTAAACTTCCTGGTAAGAGACCAAGTCTTAACTACCTGGTAACAACTCAAGTCTAAACTACCTGGTAACAGACCAAGTCTAAACTGCCGGGTAAGAGGAGACTTGCTTCATTTGGGGCTTTAGCATTTGCAGGGATGGCAGTAGGGAATATAATGTGATTCAGGGACTGTGAACCTAAGTCTAAAGTGCTTTGTAAGTCACGATGACCTCTGGCTGACATAAAATATGTCCTTTAGGACTCCTGAGTCATGACAGTTCCAGTTGTGCTGTTATCTGAGAACTGTATCAGCAGATATCCTTAGTTCTTCCTTACTGTCATTCACCTCCTGATGTGATCACAGATTGTGTTTGTCAGTAAACACATTGGGATTCCAGGCAAGAATATAGGTCATCGGTAAAGTAAGCTTGTTCCCTCTTTACGATTTAAGAATATATGTCCTTAGCCATCTATGCTTATCTCCCCTTATAGGTCCACATCACCCCCACGCTTATCTCCCCTTTACAATTCTGCTGAAGAATATAGGTCCACAGCCATCTATGCTTATCTCCCCTTATAGGTCCACATCACTCCAGGCTTATCTCCCCTTTACAATTCTGCTGAAGAATATAGGTCCACAGCCATCTATGCTTATCTCTCCTTTATAATTCTCCTAAGAATATAGGTCCACAGCCATCTATGCCTATCTTCCCTTATAGGTCCACATCACCCCAAGCTTATCTCCCCTTTATGATTCTGGTTAAGAATATAGGTCTTCAGTAACCTATGCTTATCTCCCTTTTACAATTCTGGTCAAGAATATACTCCTCAGCCATCTATGCTTATCTCCCTTTAACAATTCTGGTTAAGAATAGAGGTCCTCCACAGTCTATGCTTGTTGTAGAGGCCACTAATATAACTAGGTGGTCAGGCTTGAGGAAATGGTTTGTTGCATGTGATTTAATCCCAGTTAGGTACCGTTCATAATTTATGTCTGGGGGGAAAAGCATGTACAATGTGAATGACCCCCCCTAAAATATATGTACAAAATAAGTGAATCCCCCCTCATGTCATGTACAAAATCAATGCCCCCTCTCCCCTTCTCATAATTTCTAAGCATAATTTTAAACATACTTTTATGTACAAAATTGATGATCCCTATCCCCCCTTAAAATCATCACCACCACCCCCCCCCAGCCATAAATTATGAAAGTCCCTTACATGATCAATGATCATAATGTCAGTTGGTCCAGGCTGTGTTGTCTACAGACCATCTCCATATTATTGAGTGGAGCGTTAAACAGCAAACAATAACAAACGGTTGGAAATTTTTATTTCCTAAGTCAACCAACAGACCTCTTCTTTGGTCATTGACAAACACAATGAGTTATGCAAACATGTCCATAGCTTGTTTCAGACAAGTTGATGATGTTATGTAACTGCATAGCTTGGGAAAGCAGATGGTCTTCTTCCTTTATGACCCGTGAAGGTCCGGGTTAGAATGTACCTTCAGCAACCCATGCTTGTTGTAAGAGGCGACCAATGGGATCAGGTGGTCAGGCTCGCTGGCTTGGTTGACACATGTCATCAGTTCCCAATTGTGCAGATCAATGCCCATGCTGTTGATCACTGGATTGTCTGGTCCAGACTCTATTATTTACCGACCAACGCCATATAGCTGGAATATTGCTGAGTGCGGCGTAAAACTAAACTCACTCACTCACTCTTCCTTTACGTTTATCACTTGTTAGTGGTGACATCTCTCAGCACAGTTCCACTAGACTTGTCTGCAGCCAGGCTTGTAGTCTGTCTCACAGTCCAGGAACCTATTTTCCTTCCTCCCAGCCCTGGACCGCCTCCATGGTATAGTGGTTAGAGCGTCCGCCCGGAGAGCCGAAGGTCGTGGGTTCGATCCCCGCCCGCGTCATACCAAAAGACGTTAAAATATGGTACTTGTTGGTCCCTGCCTGGCGTTCGGCATTAATGGGTACAACAAGGACTGGTTGGCTCGGAGTCAGTATGCTGTGTCTGAGTGGGGTATTCATGCTTCACTGCGGCATGGTATCTCAGTGGGCTAGCACTATCAAACCAGCTTAAGTCTGGGCTAGTACAAGCAGCCGCACATACACATACACATGCATGCACGTTGTCATATGAGCGAAATATTTTCAAGTACGACGTAAAACCCAATTTCACCTCACCTCACCTCACCTCCACCCAGCCCATCCTGCAATGCTAAATCCCTAAATGAAGCAAGTCTAGATTTCTTCAGGTTCTGAATGTCCCATCTCACCTAGGCTCCTTTTTAATTCAAAAGGAAATATTTGTTTCTGTCAAAATTATATACATTCAGAGACTACGCGTTAGCCTACCAAACTTGATATGAGCTGCTCCATAGTGAACAGATAAAACAGCAAAATACCCAATGACCCGACCGTATTTTATCCAACATATTTCATTGGTTTCAAGGAAGGTCAATAATTGGACAAGATCACTTTCATGTTGGTTTTAATCAATTCGTGGATGTCAATAATGATTTAATCACCATTATTTACAGAATTGTCTTAAAGCCCCGCAATCATGCAAAAGGCCCATTCAGATTGATTATCAATTTACAGAAATATCACGATTTACTGATATGTTTTTTCCACCTCTTATGATGTTGAAGCTTCCAATTCCTTCTCACAGAAAACTGCCATCTCCAACCATGCTTGTATTAAATTAGATCACGTTATCTTGATTCCAATGTATTAATCTACATCGAAACATCCCCAATTGCAATAAACCAGAAGTGCTATTCATTATATTGAATGTTCTCCCAGGTTCAAGAATAGAAAATGTTACAGCCAATATTAAATGTATCAGTAGGGTAGTGGGGTAGCCTACATACAACTATCGTTATCTGCAATGACAACCAAATTTTTTCTTGTCATTGTAGACACTTTCTTATTTGTTTACTATAGTTCATCGGACATGACTCCTTACTCGATCAGACTAAGGAGTCACATGATCAACTGGAGTGTGTGCTGCATGTTTCACAGAGGCTGAGGCTGTCCAGGGGAAGGGAGTGTTCAGGGGAATGGTACAAAAGAGGGCAAAAGTTTGCAGTTCATTTCCACTTGGCTGTGGAATCATGAGCGAGAGTACTAACAATCAGATGGGATAAATATTTATTAATATACAATTTATAGTTAAAATTTTCAATTTCAGAATATGAATGAATTATGCAGTCCTTTACAATTTGTATCAGGAATATTGTACTAGTTGAACCATGATTTGAATATGCAAGCTGTTTTGGCTGCCATAATGTCTGAGAGTGCCCTCTATAATTGGTATATTGGTTTATTGAGGTTCATTCTTATACATATTACCAAATTATTTTTTTATGCTCTGTAGATTGGGTAATTTCAATTTTATCATGTGTTTAATGCTATACACTTGCCAAACACCTGTTAAACATGGATAAAATGTTCAAAGCCCATTTCTGGTTTCCTGCCATGATATTGCTGGAATGTTGGTCAAAGTGGCATAAAACCATATTCACTCACTCAACACTTCTGACATTTTGACGTTTGGTATGCCTTGCTGATATCCATTGGTCAGATTAGAGTAAGTTAGACACCACATTGGGTGACCTGCTTATCACAGCAGGGGATCAATATACTGGAGTGGTATTGTTATGAATCATTGATAATAGTGGCTGATCAATTGATCAGATCATGAGAAAGATACGCTGAACTAGATTGAGGAACTCTTTTGTGACAATAAGCAATGGTAAGGAAATAGGTCTTTTGTTACCTGCATAGCGACAATTTAATGACAATATACAGTAGGGCTATGAATTGCTAAGATTGTTGATGTGGGCTAAGGAATCGCAAAGTCACTCACTCACTCACTCACTCACCTGAGCCACCCAAAGCCCACTCACCCACCAAGCCACCCAAAGCCCGCCCTCTAACTCACTCACTCACCCATGCCACCCAAAGCTAGCTCGCTCACTCACTCACTCACTCACTCACTGAATAATCTGGAGCCTGAACTAAACATAACTGCTTTTCTTTACATTTCAGTAAATGACAATGAGACGAAGAGGCTTAAAGAGGCCTTCAAGCGAGCCTCCACCCTGGGGGGCTACATGACAGAGAACCTGTTTATCAGGGAGGTCTTATGGGATGGCGTTCCTCCGAAGTTGGCTCAGGTAAACCATAATTTTGATTTCTAGTTTGACCAATCATAGTGCCGTCCTGACGGCCTACATCTACGAGATGATGTTGCTATATAAGTGCACTCGTTGCCCATTTCACCTCTAACAAATGTGGACTGCCTTCGTGGTGTATTGGTTAGAGTGGAAGGTCACTGGTTCGATGCCCGGCCACGTTAAAATATGGTACTTGTTGGTCCCTGCCTGGTGCTCGACAGTAATGGGTACAACAAGGACTGGTCAGCTCAGAGTCAGTATAATGTGTCTGAGTGGGGTATTCATACTTCACTGCGGCATGGTATCTCAGTGAGCTAGCACTATAAAACCAGCTTAAGTCTGGGCTAGTACAAGCAGCCACTCATACACACACACATGCACTTCTCGCACTTGAAAATACGTCATTCATATTACATGCATGTGTGTGTATGTGTATGTGCAGCTACTTCTACTAGCCCAGACTTAAGCTGGTTTTATAGTGCTAGCTCACTGAGATACCATGCCGCAGTGAAGCATGAAATTACCCGACTCGTTATTCTGAGCTGACCAGTCCTTGTTGTACCCATTACTTCCGAGCACCAGGCAGGGACCAACAAGTACCATATTATACGTCTTTTGGTTATCAAACCCACGACCGTCCGCTCTCCAGGCCGACGCTCTAAGCACTACACCACAGAGGTGGTCAGAACGTTATTAAAGGATGCAAAAATCCCTACTCACTTTCTCTAATACATGTACTCCACTGGCCCGCTGGCCCGTGGCTAGTAAAAGTCCAGTCGGGCCAGAAGATCTACAGTCACTGGTCCGACTGGTGAATTTTCATGGAGTCAATTTGTAAATATACCACGACTTGTTTAGTTATAACACACTTTGAAGTCATGCAAGATTATGGCCTGATAAAAATGTTCATCATATTAGCAGTCTAATGATAAAACCCGTGTTGACATTGAAATGTTGTGCTAGTGAATTGGGCCTAGTAACTTTCAGGCATAGCAAGCCCGACTGGCTAGCAAAATTTGGAAACTATTTCACACACTGGTCTGAGGTCATTTTGCCTGATATTGAGGACAAACAAAAGTATTGTAAATATGATAGGCCAATTTTGTTTGAGCATGTTTGAATGTTATTAGAACAGTCACAGTTTGTAGGTCTGTTTACCTATTGTCCTTTCACTCAGCTATTTGAGCCTCTGTTGATGTCATGGTAACCACCAGTATCAGCTGTGTATAAAATGCTATATTTGTATTTGAACGTGTTCTTTCTTTTTTTAGATACTGTTATCGCTGTAAAAAAAGTAGGGTTGCAATAAATACACCAGTTTACAATATGTTTCATAAACATGAATATTTATTCATGAATATGCTTGTGCTCCTGTAGGGCTTGTATATATTCCATTTTGCTTATCACACTTAAATGAATATCAGGCTAGCTCCAAGTGAAAAACATTCTTTCAAAACCTTTTAGTAAATAAAAAGCATCCCGGTTCTAAGACAGTTTATAAAGGAAGGCACTTAGTAAAACCATACCCGTTTAACTTGTCCGGCATCAAGTGGTTGATAACATTGACAAACCTAAGACTGGTAAAAGATAATATACTCTGTCTTATATTCTGTGTTTTCTGTTAAAAGAGCTGTAATATATGCATGCAAACATGGATTGGTACATACATTTTGGGGCTTAGCACTTGATTTTTATAAGAGTTATTTACAGACTGGACAAGAGGTTGGTCAGGGCTTAGCACTTGATTTTTATAAGGGTTATTTACAGACTGGACAAGAGGTTGGTCAGGGACACTTACTACTGCAGCAGGTTTAATATGATAAATATTATATTTTACTATTGTGTCTATTTTGTTAGACTTGACTTGAACAAAAGTGTCTTTAAATCTTCCTTATAGACTACGGGCTTGGGCAGCCTAGTAGTTAAAGCATTCACTCATCGATTCCCCACATGGGTACATTGTGTGAAGCCCATTTCTGGTGATATTGCTCGATTATTGCTAAAAGGGGCTTAAAAACAAACTCACTCACTCCTTATAGACTACACATTAAATTTCCAGCATAACGCTACATGCCTTGCTTTGTAGTCATAATGTCAATTTTCCTTTGCCATCGCATGTATCCATTCATTTAAACTATAAGCAGGTTGATGTCCACTATCTGTTTGGCATATCTTTATTGGTCAGCCAAATTACAATAATTGAATGTTTCATTTACCATGGATGATTAACGTTTCCTTATACCAGCGGTTACCATAAGACAATTTGTTTTATTGCTACCGGTAGTAATTTATATTTTGGAAGGGCGGTGGGGTAGCCTAATGGTTAAAGCATTGGCTCGTCACGCTGAAGACCCAGGTTATATCTATTCATAAAGATTCAGACTGACACAAAACGAAAGTTACACTTTCAACTTTCTAATGTTGAAAATACCCTCCGTGTCGTGCAGCATTCCAGCAGGTCTAGGGGCGGTAGAGTAGCCCAGTGTTTAACTGTTGACTCGTCACCCTGAAGACCTGGGTTCGAATCCCCACATGGGCACAATGTGTGAAGCCCATTTCTGGTGTCCCCCGCCGTGATGTTGCTGGAATATTGCTAAAAGCGGCGTAAAACTAAACTCAGTCAGTCAGTTATATTTTGGACAAGAGTTTTATCATGATTATGCCTGTCATGTTGCCAGTAGTACTGTTTTGCTTGGTGCTTATCAGTGCTATCAGCAACTGTAAATAATCACTGTGTTGGATCAGACAATACAGTGATAGATACAGTGGGAACAATCCACATCTCTCTTGTACAAGATGTCTGAAGCCTTTGAGTTGTCAATTTTGTTATATATATTTTCATTTTTAAGTGGAATAATTACAATTGTGGTCTGTTTAAATAAAGATGTTAAGGATACAAAGGCAAAAAAAATGTGGAAGCAGCTGATCGAAGTGCCAGCTCATAGTATATGTAGTGAGTGAGTTTTAGTTTTATGCCGCACTCAGCAATATTCCAACTATGTGGCGGAGGTCTGTAAATAATCGAGTCTGGACCAGACAATCCAGTGATCAACAACATGAGCATTGATCTACACAACTGGGATACGATGACATATGTCAACTAAGCCAGCGAGCCTGACCACCTAATCCCGTTAGTCGCCTCTTATGACAAGCATGGGTTACTGAAGATCAAACTAACCTGGATTTTCAGGGGTGTAGTACTGTAAACGTATTATATTTCGCTCAGGTTTTATTTTCTCGCTTTTCGCGCAAAACATTTCAGCGCGAAACTTTATACACCGTGAATAAACCTGTCATTCATTCAGTCTAGCCACGCTCGCCCCTGAGTTGTTACCATAACACATCAAGTTTGAAGACAGAAATCTACGGGAATCTTAAAATGACGACTGATAGTAGCATAAAGAATCATACTTAACTGTCGCTGTAATGTATTTCCCAAAACATAATTAAATAATGACCCAAATCCCATCGCAGAATTAGCGAAAACAGCAATGTGTGTTGTGGCCGCCATGGAAATTGGTCACATGACAGATGGTTTGATACAAAACAAATTACCATGAAACGACTCGGAAAGAAATAATACAGCAGTATTTTATTTATTCATTAAGATTTTATTTACCAGTACATCATGAAGCGAATAGTCACTTAACACTCAATCATCTCATTCACAACAACCCAGCTTGTTTGAAATCACAAGGAGCTTCATATACAGTAGAAGTTAATTCTCAGATCGTCAGAATTCGGAACATAAGACTGATGTGTTTTTCATCTCTTCCGTGAGTAAACGGATTACTGTGTACTAGTATATCGCACAGATAGGGATTTCCTGTGAGTATGCAATGAACGCCGCCTGACAGGTTAAGCCACTCTGTTTGTTTTCACTGCTATTAGTGGCGGCCAAAGAGACAGCTGGCAGTTCCGGCAATTACTGATTGCGCGAATTATTGCCCGCGCGATGTAGTCTAAACTGTCAATTCCGCAAAAATTGCACCACGCGAAAATAAGTACGTTTACAGTATATGTTGTGCTGTCTTGGTCTCGCTTAGTTTGGCTCATGTTTGACAAATATCTGAATCATTGTTTGACTCTCACTCACTCACAAATGTCAGAACCACTATTTGACTGTCACTATCAAATGTCTGTAATTTTCAAGTGTTAAAAAAAATCAAAGTGAAATATGCTTCCAACAAACAAAGTCACTGTAGCAGAGTGTGTTATGTTTAAGACTTAAGATTTCTTAATCAATCTTAATGTTCCCTGCTTTCTTGATTATTATTTTATAGATGCTACAATTTTACAATGGCCTTGCATCAGTTCTTCTCAGTTGCATGTCCTCATTAGACACCTGTGAAGGTCCAGGTTAGAAATGACCTTAAGTAACCCATGCTTGTTGTAAGAGGCTACTAACGGTATCGGGTGGTCAGACTCCCTGGCTTTGTTGACACATGTTCCCAATTGCGCAGATCGATGCTCATGCTGTTGATCACTGTATAAAGTCACTCACTCACTCATTAGCTCACTGTAACTCTAGTGTGAACCATGGAAGAGGTCCCGCATGGAAACTCACAATTGAACCACACTTGAAATTTTTAATTTTGTACAAACATCAGCAGTTATCTTCCCATGTTGAGTGTAGCAATTACCACCCGTTGTTCAAGCTTCATCAGTTATCTCCCTTTGTTTTTCAGCTAATCTACAAGGGCATAGGTGGGAGCAGCAAGGGTCTGTCATACAAGGATCTGCTATGTGGTCTAGTCGTGCTCACCAAGGGCACTCGCGAGGAGAAGATCAAATGTGAGTACTTTACACCCAAGGTGGTTGATATAGCCGTTTGGCATACTATTTTCAGTACAGTGTTACTGCATTTTCAACACCTTTGAAACCACAAGTCTCAAGGATCTGAAATTTTGTATGAAAGAGATCTTGTTTGTAAAACCTACGTTGTTAAGCACAGACAGTGATACTCAAGTTGAAAACTTTTAATAAAATTTGAAACATAACATATGCAATACATCCAGCCATAATCTTGCGCCACAGACCAACCCAAAGTATGGATATATGAAGCTGTATAGAGATAAACATTATTATGAAATGTATGAACAGACAAAGCAGGAGTGCTTATTTTTAGTTTCGTATTTTTAGTTTAGTATCACTGGGCTGGGCTACTGTTATAGTACTAGGGGTGGTGGGATAGCCTAATGGTAAAAGCATTGGCTCGTCACGCTGAAGATCCGGGTTCGAATCCCCACATGGGCACAATGTGTGAGGCCCATTTCTGGTGTCCCCCGCCGTGATGTTGCTGGAATATTGCTAAAAGAGGCGTAAAACCAAACTCAGTCAGTCAGTTATAGTACTCACAGAATTTCTATCTGATTTTGACATGACTCCCACTGTGGCCATATTAGAATGTCATGTGTACTGGTAATCATTTCTCACTTATTCAGAATGTATCTTTATGAGATTTGATATGTTGCAAGCATGTTCTACATGAAGTAACATGCAAAGTTTTATTTTTTAAATTAAACTATAACCTTTGCCCTCTCTTACCCTTGTAGCACCACTACATATTTGACGTCTGCTCTGAAACTGCAGCGCTTGCAAAGCTGAATGAATGATTCCAGCTAGGGTCTAAAAAGTGTTCTCAAAATTACAATCTGAATTCGAACCCAGGTTCCATTGCACAAACCAATCTTAGCACTAAAACTATCGTAGGCCTATGTTAAATCGTGATAGTTACGATCACCTTACCACTAAGATCGCCTTGTGGAACCGGGCCCAGACAAAGACAGCGAGTTAAGAGTCCTACTTGTTTTTCCAGTGATCTTCGGCATGTATGCTGATGAGAGCTACAGTTATGTGCAGAAGGATGAGATGGACAGACGGATCCTGGAAACAGAAGGACAGGTCTCCACTGCTCTCTCATCACTGTTTAGAGAGGTAACATTTCTATAATGATAATCATCAGTCAATTACTTGTGACCTACGTGGTGATTTCTCTAGGATTTCAAAAGAAGTGCCCTTCGCAGGTAATTGGGAAAAAATCCGAAAACTTTTGTTTTAAATTGGGCATTTCTTTAATTAGTATTTGCTTTATTCTGAGGTATTTTCACATTTCGTCAAATAAAAGGAATTAAGGCTTCTTTAATGTCTCTGTTATTGATGAAATAAAGTCCTGCCAACAAATCCATAACATTAGCATAATTATGTTGATATCCAATAGGAATTTTCCCACCATTTGCTGCAGACACTGAGCCAGATATGGAACCATGAGATGATCTAGATAAACCCCTGTTACTCTGTCTGTTGTGTAACATCAGCTCACATAATTCAAGGCTGTATTTCCGTCATCACTATTTAAAGGCTTGTGTCTAGATGTTACATGTGCCACACTGGTAACTTTCAGTCATGAGTTCAATTACTTTGTGCATGTTTTGAGGCTGTTATTGAATTTTGTACTTTATATTCTACAGAGTGATCAAGTTGGGTTTGATGCTTTCTTCAACTGGGTGCGGGCACATCCGGATGCAACAATCATCACCACATGGCTTTTGATGGAGCCCAGCACGATCTCGCTGTCCAACGACATGGACACACCCACTTTCTACCAGACACTTGCTGGTGTCACACACTGTAAGTCATGACCACCGTCTACCTGTCACTTTCAGGTTTCACACGCTGTAAGTCACACCCACTTTCTACCAGACACTTGCTGGTGTCACACACTGTCAGTCACACCCACTTTCTACCTGACACTTGCTGGTGTCACACACTGTAAGTCACACCCACTGTCTACTTGACACTTGCAGGTTTCACACACAGTAAGTCACACCCACTTTCTACCTGACACTTGCTGGTGTCACACACTGTAAGTCACACCCACTTTCTACCTGACACTTGCAAGTTTCACACACTGTCAGTCACACCCACTTTCTACCTGACACTTGCTGGTGTCACACACTGTAAGTCACACCCACTTTCTACCTGACACTTGCAGGTTTCACACACAGTAAGTCACACCCACTTTGTATGAGATACTTGGAGGTTTCACACACAGTAAGTCACACCCACTTTCTACCTGACACTTGCTGGTGTCACACACTGTAGGTCACACCCACTGTCTACTTGACACTTGCAGGTTTCACACACTGTAAGCCACACCCACTTTCTATCAGGCACTTGCTGGTGTCACACATAGTAAGCCACACCCACTTTCTATCAGGCACTTGCTGGTGTCACACACAGTAAGCCACACCAACTTTCTACCTGACACTTGCTGGTATCACACACAGTAAGTCACACCCACTTTGTATGAGACACTTGGAGGTTTCACACACTGTAAGTCACACCCACTTTCTACCTGACACTTGCTGGTGTCACACACAGTAAGTCACACCCACTTTGTATGAGACACTTGGAGGTTTCACACACTGTAAGTCACACCCACTGTCTACCTGACACTTGCTGGTGTCACACACTGTAAGTCACACCCACTGTCTACTTGACACTTGCAGGTTTCACACACTGTCAGTCACACCCACTTTCTACCTGACACTTGCAGGTTTCACACACAGTAAGGCACACCCACTTTGTATGAGATACTTGGAAGTTTCACACACTGTAAGCCACACCCACTTTCTATCAGGCACTTGCTAGTGTCACACACAGTAAGCCACACCAACTTTCTACCTGACACTTGCTGGTGTCACACACAGTAAGTCACACCCACTTTGTATGAGACACTTGGAGGTTTCACACACTGTAAGTCACACCCACTGTCTACCTGACACTTGCTGGTGTCACACACTGTAAGTCACACCCACTGTCTACTTGACACTTGCAGGTTTCACACACTGTCAGTCACACCCACTTTCTACCTGACACTTGCAGGTTTCACACACAGTAAGGCACACCCACTTTGTATGAGATACTTGGAAGTTTCACACACTGTAAGCCACACCCACTTTCTATCAGGCACTTGCTAGTGTCACACACAGTAAGCCACACCAACTTTCTACCTGACACTTGGAGGTTTCACACACAGTAAGTCACACCCACTTTGTATGAGATACTTGGAAGTTGCACACACTGTAAGCCACACCCACTTTCTATCAGGCACTTGCTGGTGTCACACACTGTAAGTCACACCTACTTTGTATGAGACACTTGGAGGTTTCACACACTGTAAGCCACACCCACTTTCTATCAGGCACTTGCTGGTGTCACACACTGTAAGTCACACCTACTTTGTATGAGACACTTGGAGGTTTCACACACTGTAAGCCACACCCACTTTCTACCTGACACTTGCTGGTGTCACACACAGTAAGTCACACCTACTTTGTATGAGACACTTGGAGGTTTCACACACTGTAAGTCACACCCACTTTCTACCTGACACTTGCTGGTGTCACACACAGTCAGTCACCTTGCTTGCATGTGATAGACATTTTAACTACTTCAACCTCAGACTGATTAATCCTGTTTTGCCAGTGGAGGAGACCGACATCAGTGAGCTTGAAAAGCGCTACTGGGTTCTGAAGGCGCAGTCCAAAAGTGGCCGATTTGATCTCGACACATTCAAGTTGTTTGTGTGTCCGGCCCTGCCAGAGATACTCTGTGAAGGTATTGTTTCAACAATGAATATGTAACTTGCCGCAAACATTTATCTGTTTTCCCAAAATATGTAGTTATATAGTGTAAACTACTTCTTGGAAAGAGCTGTGGACTTCTTTGCTTAGCTAAATGTGTTGGGCAATGACAAGAGTCGTAAATTTCTTTTGGGTCAGCACCATAACTTTACAGCTTTTGCAGTACATCCTTGAACATCTAGGGTAACGTATTTCCCTTCCACCATGAATACCCTGGAACCATTGAATTTGTTGTGAGTGTTATTAAGATTAGACGACACTCTAAGAGGTGAGGTGAAATTGGGTTTTATGTCGTGCTTGAGAAAATTTCGCTCATATGACGACGTGCATGCGTGTGTATGTGTATGTGCAGCTGCTTGTACTAGCCTAGACTGAAGCTGGTTTTATAGTGCTAGCCCACTGAGATACCATGCTGCAGTGAAGCATGAATACCCCACTCAGACACATTATACTGACTCCGAGCCGACCAGTTCTTGTTGTACCCATTAATGCCGAGAGCCAGACAAGTACCATATTTTAACGTCTTTTGGTATGACGCGGTCGGGGATCGAACCCGTGACCTTCCGCTCCCCGGGCGGACGCTCTAACCACTACACCACGGAGGCGGTCTACGACACTCTAAGAAGTTATCCAGTCAAATTGCAGTCATGAAAGCCATAAAACCCTTTGCCCTGGGTTAGAATTGGCCTTCAGCAACACATGCTTGTCGTAAGAGGTGACATACGGGATCGGGTGGTCAAGCTCGCTGACTCGGTTGACACATGTCATTGTATCCTGATGCTCATGATGTTGATCACTGGATTGTCTGGTTCAGACTCAATTATTTACAGACCATCACCATATAGCTGGAATATTGCATTAAACAAGAAACAAAATAATAAATTCTTCACTGATAACAATGATTGAGGTTGTGATGTCCCTTCTCAGCCAAAGTGTATGTTTCCAGGGTACTTAACAACAAAAGGGATATGAATTAATCACAACTTTTTTATTCTTCTGTTTCAGGTTTATTTCTGGCGTTCGATGAAAACCGAGACAATCATATTGACTTCAAGGAGATGGCGTGTGGCATCTCGTCCTGCTGTAGAGGTCCCTCCACAGAAAGGCAGAAGTGTAAGTCAGCAGTAACAACTCACAGTTGCTAGGCAGCATACTTTTGTTTTTCGGTTAAGGATTCGACAAACATGACAAAACCACTGTCAGTACTCACATGATTCCCTCACTTAGAACCAGGCCTTTCTTGGTTCATTGGTTTCAAGTATCATTTGCATGTCAATATTTACAGTCCTAGATTAAGCAGTAGTGAACATGTATAAGCATGGATGAAACTAAAACATTCTCGATAATAGTTAAATACCCCTTCTGCGCTGCTATTTTCTGTTTAAAAGGTCTTTCATGTACACAAAATCATATAGTCTCTCTTGTTAATTTTGGTCGATGTTGTAAATGAATTTAATAATTATATCAGATTGTTTATTGGAGTATGTTGGATAATCCCATTCATTTAACTCTGAAACTATCTTAACTATGAACGTGAAATCAAGGTCTTGATAGCATTTTGTGGTCAATTTTACATTCTTGTTCTGGTACTTTTTTACCTGATATTCACCACTTTACATTTCAACTAAGACCTTGCATTTTATGTTGAAGAAGGTATTCTGGCATAGTTGAAAACATGATGACGTCTCTGTTTTGTTTTAGTCTGTTTTAAGGTGTTTGACAAGGACCATGATGGCAAGCTGTCAGCGGAGGATGTCAAGTCAATGCTGTTTGCGCTGGACATCGTCCGGAGAGAGTACAAGTCCCCAGCCGCCCTGGTCAGTTGCCTGTCACTACAGCCATAGAAGTCTCATCAGTCTATGCTTGTAGAGATTCAGGATCATTGCACGAAGTTGACAGAACCACAAGAGATATTAAAACGTTTTTTAATAAAAAGAAAGTCTATTCTTTTCTATTTCATTGTGGGTTTAAGCTTAGTGTTAGGTTTTGAAATATGTCAATTCAGTTTTAATGTTGATCATTGTGATGAGTGTTGACAGTATGTGATTACGTTTTCATGATCTGATTTTAAAAACATTTTAACCGTACGCCTGCTGTCATCATCATGAGTTTATGAAATCAATGAAAAAGTATCGGAAAGTACGATAGTGTCCTATGACCCGGGATAGTAATGTACGTAGCACCATGAGCAGGCTATGTGCCTGGATATGAGCATCATATAAGCAGACTATTACTATTATTACTATATTACTATTACAATATATAAGGTTAATTTCATTGATCTTTACACATGCGAATAACTTCATAAAAGTCATGAATTCTTAATTTGTAAAGGATGCATCTTCATATTAACTATTCAGAGAGAGTAGACTTTGTACAAAAGGTAAAAGTTGATATCTTAATCTGTGGGATCTTCAGCTTTGTGCAATGATGTCTGGATTGTAGAATCTAGGAACTTCTGCCCTTCCTGCCCTATGGGAAATTTGCATGTCATTCCTGAAAGAAATATTCCTTCATATAACTACAATGTTCTTCCTTCAAACTATCTTCAGTTATTTGAAAAGTCAGCTGAATAAAGCATTCACTGAAACACCCAGGCATAAGAGCTGCGTTTTGAGACCAACCAGTGTGGCCACCTTATCTGAACATTACCAAAGGATATTTTTCGGAAGTGATATCGCAACATTTTGACTACTTTGTTTTCTGTCGGGTTACTGAAAACAGTCAGTGTCAATGTCCTGTGATGAAGCAAGTGTTTCAAGTAAACAATCTGTTAGCTTTGTGAACTTCCAGTTGTAAACCCTTCTCGACCCTCTTCCAAAACTCTTGTCGCTGTTCACAAGAACAAATTTGGCCAGTTACCATATCTCATTGTCTGCAAGGACTTTGGCACCGACTGTTTGGGCAAGGCTGGCGCTTGGAAATGTCACAGGGGTTGCATGACATTCAAGATCTATTTCTATGCCTGAAATAAGGTTTCATGTTTTGAAGTGAAAAATTATGTTAACATGCTGATGTTATGAATCTATGCAATCTTGATGTTGAAGACGTTCATGTAAAACGGAATGTTAAATGACTTTTGAACATTCACCACATATTTTACATTGAAGGTATTGTTTTACTTGATATTTTCTTTGAAGTATTGATTTTTTAAATTTTGTCTGCAAGCATTATTGTAACAATTTGTACAATCTTTTGAGCACAAAGCTTACAGTATCACCAAATTTGCAATTTAAATCAAGTTTCACTTCCTTGTTTTTAAATTATAATTTTTATGTGAAATGAATCTATGTAGGCTCCCCTTCCCCTTATACCAATCCAGATTGGGCCATGGCAATTTAATCTCCAGATATTCAGCTTTGATGTCTTTAACAGTACAAATCATAGAGAACATTTAAATTTCTGATCAGTTCTTAACGCTACAGCTTGGTATAAGTAATGAACATTTAACATTGTTCTTCATTAAGTCTTTTACTAAAAGACACTTTACACTAGTCTTTGTCAAATTCACAATACTTTTGAAAGACTTAAGTTTTAAATATGGTAATGTTAAGAACTGTTCAATATTCTTTCAGTGAATGTCTAGAAACTAGCTTCAGCTTCTTCTGTTAATAGTGTGTTAACGAACAAATTAAATCAACATTCTGGCTAGCTTGAAAACGAAAGGCTGAAACTCTGTGGATTATTTGACCATTGCATCATCTGGACTTTCTCTTAACTCTTCTCTGTACCTCTTACAGGAAGCAGAAGATATGCCTGTCCTTGACCCTGAGGTCGTTTCCAATGAGATTATGTCAAGTTTAGACACTGATAAGGTAGTGCTTCACCTTTTGCATGGCCATATAAATTAGCAATGGTAGTCTGTCTTTAGAAATCTGTCTCCTGTAGTCAATCAGATTTGAAATAATTGCATTGAATAAGGGCAATCTTTACTATAGTAGGCCTGTGTGTACCAGCGAAAGTCTAGAGTTGCTTCCCCTGAATTTTGCAGCCATGTTGGATGAGTGCATTGGCATTGAAGGGGTGTTTAGAGACCTTGCATGTATTGAAAAATTGCATCATGTGCATGTCAAAGCCTCATGTACAAAGCAATCTCATCTCAAAGTTTTATATGTTTATGTGATCATAAAGTGTGATAGTTATTACTGAAAGGCTGCGTTGTTTAATAAAGGTTCATGTGATCCATCTCCCCCTGGTATCAGCTTGATAGGTCAAATGTGATCAGAGCAGTCAGAAATATTTTTCAATTTTGATTTAATAAGACTGGATAACCAAGGGATTTGAGTTAAGATTATATTTGAATGGGTTATTGAGCAATCGTGTGATTAATGTTGTTCTGAAAGTAAAGTGATATAGTATCTGTGCACCAAGCATATTCGTCAGTGTTAAAGACAAACGGAAATGGTTCTGTTCGCTTTACTTGGCAAGAAAAAGGTCTATATTTGGAACAAATTGAGTCAGGAGATTAATCATCTCTGGATCCCATGGATAGCACATTGATAACTGTTTATTGATAATTCTAATATTGACTGACAGGAACTCGCCCTTTTAAATCCGTTGACATGTAATGAAGATAGATTCTTATCAGCCTTCTGACCAGAATTCAAAGCTAGTCATTTACTTGATCAAGACAGTGTTTCATTGTCGCCTTGACATGCTCTAAATGTTTTGTGCTGAACATTGTATATTTTGTGTTTGTGGTTTATTAATTGGTCACATGTTATCTAATGGCTTATGTTAATGTTTAATGTCTTCAGTTGCATGTGTTATGTTGGTGTTATCGCTAAGCTTCTTCTCTTGTTGTGGCTTCGTAGAGACGTGGTAGAGAGATCTTATTTCAGTCTTATAATATTTCAGTTATAATATTTCAGTGTTATCTGAGAATATTGGTTGCAAAATGTTCACCTGGTGCATGGGGTGCAGATCACTTGTTGAAGGTGTTGCAACTTGCTTTGCAGAGTTGTGCCCCTTTGTTGTCCAGGATCTGAGTGTCGTTGCTATCGCATACCAGAAAGCTGTGACCATGGGTTCAAATTCCATGTTGTCCTGATAACTTCGATGTTTGCCAAACAGGGCCCCATTCCTCAAAGCGATCATTACCCTAAGACGATCGTAACTCCCATACTTTAACATAGACTTATGATAGTCGTAGTGCTACGATCACTTTGAGGAACGAGGCCCAGATCTGTCTTATTGTCTGTAGAGAAATTGTAATGTGACTGCATTGATAGTGGGCCCAAACTTGAGAACAGATACCATTTGCTGCATGAATGAAGGATGTCGACTCACCATTTATCATTTTTATCTTAATTGGTCAAAATGATCAAATTTTTCCTTATCCTGACTCATGCTCTTTTGCTTGTCCCCTTCCTCTTGCGAACATAGTGGAACACTTGTATCTCCTTAATTGAAGCTCCCTTCAATGTAAAATCACTAATTGGTACTCACCCACGAGTTACCTCCCCTGCCGTAAGCGCGTGAACAGGTGTCGCCACCCTCTGGCCTCATGCTTCACTCTCTCCTTCTTCGCCCAGTGAGCAGGATGTGAGAGCGTCTGTGTCTCCTTACACACTATATCCTTTGGTTTTTCTTAGTTAGTTACCTTTTATAGTTTACTATAAAGGTATAGCTAGTATCCTTCAGTTATTTGCATTAATAATTAATCAGATTTCTACTGTTTATTCACGTGAGTTCGTGATTGTTCAGCTAGTTTTACATTGATGAAAAACTGTACTATTTGTAGATTACGCTTTTTCCGCCATGGATCCGCATGTGGTATGCCCTAGTTGTACTACGCTTGTGCGTTTGACTCACGCTGCAGTTACTGCATAAATTTAACCAATTCTGCCTTTGATAAATACCATCTTTGCGCCTTGAGACGGTTGCAGATAGGTCACGCAAACTAGGTGTAGACATGGCCGATACGCCGGATTGCCCATCCAGTCAACTGCTGTCGAAAGTGATCCCTCCCGCCTGGTGTTCTGCTTGAGACCCCATCGGAAGAGGGACGGGATGCAGTCCGTCACCTCTAAGAAGCGAATCGCCTCTCCAGACATCCAGTCATCGCAGACAAAGTCCAAGAGGGCCTCAACGTCTTCTCAACGCAGACTTCGTGACTCCCCAGGGCAGCGCTCTTCCTCCAAAGGGAAATTCCACGAAGTCATCGAGAACTTTCAGCCGAGATCGCTCCAGCAGCAGAATTGGGCCTCTACGATGACCAGCCTATCATCATACCCGACATACGCCACAAGAAGTTTACCAGTGACAGCGACAGTGACGCCAGCAGAGATCAACAAGCAGCCTGATGCCTCTACACTGATGTCAGACGAGATCGCTGAGGGCCCCACCGCTAACACAGCAGAAAGGGCACCATCTACTACGCCGCAGATCATCCCAAACGATCTTATGAAACAGATCATGATTATGATGGAAGGCCACTATAGACTGGAGAAGCAGCCATCCCAGGGTCCGAAGCCGCCGAAGGCTCCAACGTAGACAGCACCCCAGGGGCACCATCTGTCAACGTAGCAGCCACGACAATGCAGCCTTCGCGAAGGAAGTCACAGACCACCTCGACGAAGGACCCAGATGTACAGCCTTCGCGAAGGCCTTCGCGATGGCGGGAAGAATCATCACCTTCTTCAAGGCCATACTCAGATATGGAATCTGATCACCAGACCACACGCAAGCCTTCGCGAAGGTCATATCATCGCTCCCCAGGACCGGACGATATGAAGCTTCGCAGGCATGCTCGCGAAGGACACCTGAACCCAGATCGTCTTCATCTAAAAGATCAGCAAGGGACTACACAAGAGCTTCGCGAAGCTATCAGTCCCCTCATAGGTCGCCAAGAAGGTCAACCTATCGATATAGATCACCAAGACGATCACCTCGCCGATCACCACGTCGATCACCTCACAGGTCTGCACATAAGCCTACAACTAGATCTCCACAAGCCGCCAAACGATATAGAGATAGAGCCACACAGCCCTACATCAGAAGAGCAACAACCTCTTATCTATGATGATGGAATGGAAGATGATGGAGGGATTATTTTCTCAGATGCAGAGATAAGATATTGGATGGTCAATAATCTAGATCTCTCATCACCTTCCAAGAGTGGCAATAAGGCGCAGACTTATCTGATGAAAGAAGATGACGCAGATGCTATTACACTACCCCCAATCGACCCGATTGGCGGCGGTACCTCAGAACCTAGATACAGCATTTAACAAAGCCACAAAGGTTCAGACGCCACATCTGCCAAATTTCAGCCAAGAAGTTCTCCACGCATAATATGGAACCCTTCTTCAAAGCGCAAGACATCGATGAGAACTATAAGCTGATCTCCGATGCCAAGAACAAGTACTACAAGATTGATGATCGGAAATTGGTTCAGATAGAAACCATGACGAGGCGTATGTTCTTTGGTCTAAATAGATCTAGAACAATAAATGAGACACTTATCTCCAGATTTCGGAACACGACCTCTGAAGATGACAGAATGATTTACTCGGCCCTACTGATGCAAAAGAAGGACCAGCAGTTTTTAACAGATCATCTGACGTCTGTCTCAGCAGCACTGACCTTAGCTCGTCAGTCAAGGCCTCCTAGCTTCCTGCAACTGGGGTGAGAACTTTACAGCTCCACTATATACAGCCCCGTGGTCTTCCCCATCCATATTTGACGGAGGAATAGACACAGTCTCCAAAGAAGTCACCAAGGATTCTAGAGAAGTCCTGATGATTAAATCGATGGACACGCTTAGCCAGTGTCATTCGACAGACTTCACAAAGATACTCAGGAGATCTAAATTCACGGGCCTACAAAGAGCTAGAGACAGGAAGATTGCCAGTTCCAGGGAAGAGATTCTTTTCACGCCCATATGGCAACTATAGAGGAGGGTCAGGACGCAGGCAGGACACCCAGAGGTTCCCGCGAACTATAAACGCTGAAAGACAGGTTCGAACGACTGGAGTCTTCCACCCCCAGCCGCTCCAGTACAACCGCCACAAGTGGGTGGACGTCTTCAACTACACTGGGAAAACTGGGGAATACTTCAAGACACCTATGTCTCCAACATTCTTCAACGCTGGATTTCAGTATCCCACTACAGGCCAAGCCTCCACTAACAGTCAACCCTCACAAGTTCGAGGTAGAGGCACAACAACTACTAAAGTTAAGAGAGGCGGTTACATTACTCCTAACCAAGCAGGCCATAGAAGTAATAGAGCAAGGAAACATCGAACCAGGTTTCTACTCCCCAGTTTTCCTAGTACCCAAGAAGAACTCCAAGGAGAAATACAGACTCATTTACAACATGAGCTTCTTCAACAAGACTTACTTAAACAGACCACCCAGGTTCACTATGATACATCTACCGCAGCTACGGCAGATGATTCGCCCCATGGACTACATGGGCAGTATAGATCTACAAGATGCTTATCTGCACATCCCAATACATCCCGAATCCAGGAAATACCTTCGGGTTTACGCTTAGACGGGTTACATTACCAGTGGAAAGTACTCCCATTCGAATAGCATCAGCCCCATGGTTATTCACGAGGATAACGAAACCGATTGTTACCTATCTACATCGTCCAAGGGCTACGAGTAGCGCTCTTCCTTCCTCGACGACGGGATACAAGTAGATCAAGATCCACAGCATCTCAAACTACAGTTAAACTACATCATAAAGCTACTAACACAGCTGGGATGGTTAGTAAACTTACACAAGTCGGACCTAGTACCATCGCAAGATCTGCAATTCCTAGGAACCGATTTATCACCAATCTCAACCGTATAGTCGTACCAGAAGACCGTTGGCTCAAGATCCAACAGATCATTCCACCAGCTCTACTGTCACCGCTACCACTTCGACAATGGCAGAGCTTACTAGGGTCTTCTAACATCAGCCCAAGACTTGACAGTCATAGGCAGATTACAGTTACGCCCGTTACAGGTCTTCGATCAATACACATCTCGACGACCTACAACCATTCAGTCTACCGATACATCTCAGACCTCATCTATTATGGTGGACAAAGAAATCGAATGTCTGCGAAGGATTTGTTTAGCAGAGCAGGAATTCAAGACCCATCTATATGTAGACGCCGCTCCAAGGTTGGGGAGCTCATCTCTCCAACCGGACGGCATCAGGGTTATGGACTCAGCTAGAAAGCAAACTCCACATAAACGCATTAGAGATGAAAGCTGTAATCAACGCCATAAGACATTGGAGCAACATTCTACAGAATGCGCACCTGATGATACATACCGACAACCTCGACAGTGGCGCTTTTATGTGAACAGACAAGGCTCAACGAGATCGCGAACCTTTTGAATTTAACCTTTCAACTGTTGAATTAATCCAAGATCTAAATCTACATGTCAAAGCATGCCACATTCCCGAGCCAGGAATATACTAGCAGACGCACTCTCTCGGCCACATCTACCGTCGCCGACAGAATGGATGCTCAATACAGAGATATTTGCACAGATAATCAAGCAAATAGGAGCCGCTAGTAGATCTATTAGCCACAAGGTTCAACAATCAACTACCGACATTCGTGTCACCAGTGCCAGACCCACAAGCATGGGCAACAGACGCTCTAAGCATTTCATGGAAGGCCTCAATGCGTCGCGCCGTTTCGCCCCAGCAATAATACCTCTAGTATTACAGAAAATCAATCAAACGCCAGAGCCTACAACTCACTTTGGTCGCTCTATTGGTCGGCCAGAACGTGGTTTCCGCCTTAATACAAGATATCGGTCAACCGGCACTAGAACTACCCAAGCTGGCGCAAACCTGTTAATACATCCTCACACCAAACAGGTGCACAGAAACCCAGAAGTATTCAAACTTCATTATGGACTGTATTAAAATGTGTTTAAACAAGAGAGGATATTCTACCAGGGCGGCAAAAGCGGTCACGCTTTGCCTTTACGATACTCAACGCGTAACTTGTACGATGACAAGTGGCAAAGTTTCAAAATTATGCAACAAACAAGGGTTTTACAGCGAGAGAGATGCCACGCATCCTCAAGTGGCAGACTATTTGTGTTACTTACGGCAAAACAAACATTTAAAAGGCTCGACATTGTCAACATATCTTGCGCTTAGTTCTGTGATTTCTATGAGAACGGGTGTTAAATTAACAAGAACACCAGAGTTACTGGCCTTACTACGTGCTTTCGATTGGAGGACCAAAAGCGGAAATTCCACGCCCCAGCTTGGGATCTGAATGTAGTTTTACGACACCTCACAAGTGAGGATTATGAACCATTGGAATCGACAACGTTTGAATTTCTCTCACAGAAAACAGTCTTCCTGTTATCGCTAGCCACGGCAGCCAGAATATCTGAAATTCATGCTCTAGATTATGAGAGGATACAGTTTGATGAAAATCAAAAGACAGCGCACCTGGGATTAAGATGGGATTTCATCGCCAAAAATCAACTACCAGGTCAACCAGACAGGTTATTTCACATCCCTGCGCTATCCTCAATTCTTGGATCTCAAGATACATTGGACTTATCTCTATGCCCAGTACGAGCTCTCATAATCTATTTGGCGTCGTTTCCAAAACAAGGCTAAGATCGCTCAGAAGATTGTTCATCCGTTATCGCCACAAATCAGACAGAAGTCTCGTACTCACCATATCAATATGGATAAGAACTGTCATTTTATCGCCTATAAGGCAGCAGGACTGGACCCTCCAACAGCATCAAATCCCCATGAAATCAGGGCATTGGCATCCACCCTCGCCCTTCATGGTAACTGTTCATTGAATACAATTATGGAAGGATGCTTTTGGAAATCTAACATGGTGTTTGCTAATCACTATCTCAGAGATATCACCACCGAGGACGCCTCTGGCATTCATCATTCGGTCCTTTGGTCCTCGCCAGCAATTGACAGTCCCTCGTGAGGCGTTAATATTCACCCCACGAGATTATTAGATATATGATACATATATTCACTAGCTTATAACTCCATGGAGTTCTAGGGCTATGTACATATTTAGCTTAGGTTATTCAACCTTAAGCTCATACTGAGTTATATTCAGTGTACAGCCTGCGTTAGAGTAGCAGTTTATATATATATATTGATATATCAGTATATTAGTAAGGTAATACCCCACTTATAGTGTATATATCTATGGCTTATTATAAGGAAATATCCTAAGTCTCAATGCCTTATGAAGTTCCCAAGAGGGGTTATTACAATATCACTTACTTAAATCACTAATTAATCCAAAGTATTCTGTTTACCCACCACCTCTCCCGTGGATTCTACAAAAGAGCATGAGTCAGGATAAGGAAAAATATGTAATTTTTGAGTAAAATTGATATTTTATACTTATCCTGACTCATGAGGTTAGCCCTCCCATCCTCCCACATAACACTTTGGATTTCCCTGTAAATTCAAGTGTTGGGCTCGCAAAATCAGGAGAGAGTGAAGCATGAGGCCAGAGGGTGGCGACACCTGTTCCCGCGCTTACGGCAGGGGAGGTAACTCGTGGGTGAGTACCAATTAGTGATTTTACATTGAAGGGAGCTTCAATTAAGGAGATACAAGTGTTCCACTATGTTCGCAAGAGGAAGGGGACAAGCAAAAGAGCATGAGTCAGGATAAGTATAAAATATCAATTTTACTCAAAAAATTACATTTTTATAAATTGTGTAGGTCATTTTAACCATACTGTATATTTAACAGAAATCATTAAAATAATGCCAAAGATATATATGTGTAGCTAACAGGCCAACCATATGAGCTGATCCTTGAACATGTGTTGGGTGTGGCAGCTGATTTTCTTGTTGTGTCATAGGATGGCTTTATCACAATGGAGGAGTACCTGGTGTGGACAGTCAACAATACACTTACAGACGACTTCCTGGATCTGCTCAGTCAGGTAGGCTGTCAATACTCACAGATGTAATGCTGGTACATGTCACATGGTCTCCAGTATTCAGATACACATGTGATGTGGAAATAAGACTGGTGATTTGAAAGTGGATGATGATGATGATGATGATGATGATGACTTCTTGGATGATGGTGGTGGTGGTCGTGATGATGACATTGGTGACAGTTTAGATGATGGTGATGATGTTTTTTTGGATGATGGTGGTGATGATGTCTTTTTGGATGATGGTGGTGATGATGATGATGATGGTGGTGATGATGTCTATTTGGATGATGGTGGTGATGATGATGGTGGTGGTGGTGGTGATGATGTTTTTTTGGATGATGGTGGTGATGATGATGGTGATAGTTTGGATGATAATGATGACTTCAAGGACGATGGTGGTGATGATGATGATGATGATGATGATGATGACGACTTTTTTGGATGATGATGGTGGTGGTGATGATGATATTGATTTCCTGGATGATGATGTGGATGATTTCGTGGATGATAATGATTGTTATTATACACAAGACCAGTGACCTACATTACTATTCTATACTATCTATGATGATGATGGCTTTAAGCTAACATTGCCTATACTCCTGTGTGCAGATATGCCATGTGGTGCTTGGCCTTAAGCCACAAAGGCGAGATGAAGAAGGCAAAATAATTCAGTGAGTATCCTCTTTGTAGATCATGTCATGTGTTTTTACATTCAGATTGTTTCTTTCATCAACAGAGGTAATCCTCAGGTGTGTTAAAAAAAGTGGTTTTTGACTCGAAAGTGGGTTTAAAGGCTTTGGTGGTTGAAGTTTTATATGAACTATTATGTGGGGTATCATGTCTTCAAACAGTTAATCAGTTTGTAGCGGCCTTTCCAAAGCAGCCATCTTATCAAGGCTGGCAATCACCACTAAGTTAATAAATATAGGCTGCTATTGAATCATTAACACACAAAAATGAAAACAATCTGAAATCAGTGACACCATAATATATATCCAAATCTGTGTTCGGACAATCAGGAATGGCCTTATTATTTTTTGGTTTTAACGAAGAAAATACTTGGTTTACCAGTCACACGTCCTGAAGTCTCTTGCTGTTTATTCGTTAGACCATATGCCTTGAAACAGTTAATTCTATAATGGTTTTCTCTAGGTCGTGGTTAGAGCGAGAGAGTCGTAAGCCGTTACAGGTGGGCCAGGTTTGTTACCTCATCAGTATGCAGTGGTGGAACACCTGGCTGGAGTATGTCAATGGAGATGTGAGTACACAACGTGTTCTTTAATCAGAGGGACGGTGGGGTAGCCTAGTGGTTAAAGTGTTGGCTCGTCACGCCGAAGACCCCGGGTTCGATTCCCCACATGGGCACAATGTGTGAAGCCCATTTCTGGTGTCCCCCGCCGTGATATTGCTGGAATATTGCTAAAAGCGGCGTAAAACTAAAACTCAGTCAGTCTTTAATCAGAGCTCTAGATAAATAGTAAATCTGCATGACATATGGAAATTTGTTCACTATTACCCATATATGGTTGAACTGTTTACAAAAGCACAATAGTCATGATTATGAAAGTATTGCAACACTCTGCATTTTACCGTATTGGCCCTTCCAAATTTCATCAATCAAATCGTCACACTGAAAGCATTAAACTTCATTTTAAACTTCCCATCACGAAGATATGGGTCAGAATTGGTCTTTGGCAGCCTTTGCTTGTCACAAGAGATGTCTAACAGGATTGGATTGTCTGGCTCACTGATATGATTGATGCTTGTCATTTTATTCAGGTAGTTTTGTAGAACAATGCTAATGATGTCAATCACCAGATTGTCTGATCCAGGCTCAATTATTTACAGCTGTATGATGCTGAGCACAGTATAAAAAAATCTGAAAAAACATTTGAAACTTCTCACTGTTAGATTCTATATCTAATGCATCACATCTCAGGTAACATATTATGGGGTAGCGGGGTAGCCCAGTGGTTAACGTGTGCGCTTGCCTTGCCGAAGACCCGGGTTCGACTGCCCTCATGGGTACAATTTATGAAGCCCATTTTGGGTGCCTCTGTCATGATGTTGCTGTAATATTGCTACTCACATCTACTTACTTGACCCGTGAAGATCTGAGTTAGATTTGGTCTTCAGTAGCCCATGTTTGTCATTAGAGGCAACTAAGGGGATTGGGTGGTCAAGCTCGCTGACATAGTTCACACATGTCATCGTATTCCAGTTGCGTAGATCAGTGCTCATGCTGTTGATCTCTGGATTGTCTGGTCCAGACTTGACTATTTACAGACCGCTGCCATATTGAAATATTGCTGAGTGCAGCATAAAACTAAACTCACTCACTCTTACTCACTCAAGTAACATAGCTTTATACTCAATAAAGAAAAGTAAGTTTATTTCATTGCCTGCCTCTGTTTCCAGCTGAATGAAAACCACAGTGCGACAGGCACACCTGTATCCAAGCATAAATTTGCTAAAGGGAAGGGAGGTGTCAACAGCACCCTTGCCTGGGAAGATGAGAACGTCATAATGGTTAACTGTAAGACAAGCAGCGCAGAACCGGCCACCTTGAACAGCCATGCTGCCCACCCCACATACAACAGCCTACCCAGATCAAACCACGGCTCTCGTAGTCCCAGGAAGAATAGTCTCAACCCCGTCGACAACGCCGCGGCCATGAACCGTAGTCCCAGTCCATCACCCAAGATGAAGCGGAAACATGCGGTGGCAGCAGGTCCCCCACAGAGGCCGGTCGCCATTGATAACAACCCTCTAATTGTCACCAACTCACATAAGGTAGGGTCGCCATTGATAACAAATCTTACATTGTCTTGAACTCGATAATCGATAATCTTTCGTTGTCACCAGTTCACATAGGGTACTGTCGCCATTGATAACAACCCTCTCATTGTCACCAACTCACATACGGTAGGGTCGTCATTGATAACAAATCTTACATTGTCGTGAACTCGATAATCGATAATCCTTTCGTTGTCACCAACTCAGCATTGATGACAACTGTCCTACGTCACCAACTCACATTAAGTAGTACAACCATTTATCATCTACAAGTTAATCAAGCTGTCTCATCTTCAGCTGTGGTATATATTTGCTTGTCTTTCCTAGGCGTCAACTCTCACAAACGAGGGTGGTCGGTTAAAGCGGGACACAGTGCTGGTGAGGGGGAAGGACTTCGAGCTGGTGCCGGAGCCCATCTGGAGAGCCCTGTCCAGCTGGTACGGAGGGGCACCTGCTCTGCCTAGAACTGTAAGTACACTGTTTCTCCTAAATCTAGTATTTGATTGGTTTGTTTGTTTGTTGTTTAACGCCACAGTCAGCAATATTCTAGCTATATGGCATTGGTCTGTAAATAATCGAGTATGGACCAGACAATCCAGTGATCAACAGCATGAACATCAATTGGGATGCAATGACATGTGTCAATCAAATCAGCTAGCCTGACCTCCTGATCCCGTTTGTCGCCTCTTACGTCAAGCATGGGTTACTGAAGGCCGGATCTTTACGGGTCCTAGGATTAGAACATGTGCTTGTAGTCTGAAGTTACCTGCTGATTTGATGAGTTACATGTCTTAATCTCCCGACATCATATGACTTTGCAACTAATATCAACAGTAGTTTGATTATTGACATGTCTACTTCATGACAGGGATAGACAAATATCAAAGGTAAAGCTCTCTTTAGGCACATCTGATAATTGACAGAAAAATAGGTCTATAGTCATGTTAAGACACTTTCAGCTGTTCTGAAAAGCAATTACAGAGAAAGGCTTTAAATGGCAATTCACCTGTGACTTTGCCTCAGTCAATCATGATTCTGAATAAGTGTTTTCTTGTTTAACACTGCACTCAGAAATATTCCAGCTATATGACAGTCTTTAAAGTTTGTAAGCTTAACAGCATATCAAAGACCAGGTTCATCATCATTTGTTCCCAAAAAGTGGTCGTTTTCATTTCCTTGGCTTCTCTTTTAAAATCATCCCCATTTTACAAAGTGACCCACGTTTGAAAGTCACAAGTTGACCTTCACGGTCCAGACCATTATGGCGGAAACTAGATTTCATAATGCTCCCCTGACTACAGGGAATTACATCTGGATGTACAGCTTTGTTGATACAGAGATGCAACATCGTATTTCACTTGCTCATTGTGACATAAGGCGGTAGGGTAGCCTAGTGGTTAAAGCGTTTGTTTGTCACACCAAAGACAGGTTGCAGTGTTTGCGGTAGGAAAAAGGCTTTGCGTTCATAAAACTCTTAGCCCTTGGAATGTGTTGGGGCGGTGGGGTAGCCTAGTGGTTAAAGCGTTCGCTCATCACGCTGAAGACCCGGGTTCGATTCCCCACATGGGTACAATGTGTGAAGCCCATTTCTAGTGTCCCCTGACGTGATATTGCTGGAATATTGCTGAAAGCACCGTAAAACCATACTCACTCACTGACTCATTATGACATCCGTGTGTTTCAGGTGATAACAACGGCATCCAATGACCCTGAGCTGGAGCTGTACCCCCGTGACTGTCCGACTCCAGCGACACCAGGTGCCCAGCCAGAGGCCGCCCCCTCCCACCACCTTCACAGGCATGATGGCTGGCTTTGGTGGCATGGCATGGAGTAAGTCAGCCATTTTGTTTTCTTGTTGGGCCAGGGATTATACACAAGTCTGTTTTGATGTGTACACAAATTTGGGTCATTTTTTGTGTTGATCAATATTCTAAATATGCACACACATACCAACGTGTGTGCATGCACACACATACACGTATGCTCACACATATGCACAGAAAGAAACATGTCTGAGGACACAGACACATTTACACACACACAGAGGCATATACAAAGCTGCACACACACATTCTGACTCACATTCACCCACACTCACCTACACTTACTCTTCACCTTGCTCTCTCTCTAACTCACATTTACACTTCTATGTCACACATACACACTCACATGTTTACAGACACACTCATTCACTGACACATTTACACACACACACACACAGTTTTTCATACAGATTGGACAGCAGTGTTACACATATTTGCTTGTGGTTCAGGTTTTGCAGCCAACCCCCAGACCCCCCCCGTCGCTACCTGGCGTACACAGCAGCCTTCAGCAGGAAACACACCATGCAGCAAATATATGAGTTCTTATGCAACAAACTCCGCTTCTGTCGAGAAGACATCCGACTCTGGAAAGTCAGTCCCAAAGATGATGTGAGTTACCATGTTAAGCATCTATATAATGCACTTGTCAAAGTACCAGTACCGGCTCAAATGTAAGTGGGGTAGTTGAGTGGTTAAAACTTTCGCTCGTCACACCAAAGACCTGGGTTCGATTCCCACATGGATACAATGTGTGGAACCCATTTCTAGTATCCCCCACCATAATATTGCTAAAAGCACTGTAAAACTAAACTCACTCACTCACTCACTCAAATGAATGATTATTCTCAACACCCTGGGGAGTATACAACCCAAGTTGCCAACAGATTCTGTATGCCCAGCTTATGTGTTGTCAACAAGATACCCATGCTAAAACTTTCATCCCTGTCAGAAACATCTGGGATAACTTTAGATTGTCCTCGAACATCAAGCTGATGTAGTATGATGTAATTCTGATTAGGGGTTACTATTGAGGGGGAAACTCTCATCCCTGTCAGAAACATGAAGGACCTGCATTACTTTGGATTGTCCTCGAACATCAAGCTGATACACTATGATGTAATTCTGATATTGTTCAAAGTAGTGTTAAACCCAACTCACTGTATTTTCAGCAAAACATCACGTTGCTAGATGATGAGAATATGACTGTGGAGGATGCAAGCATAGAAGAGAACCAGCAGATGCTTATTGAAGGTGAGCACACAAGAAGCCATCGGGATCATCAGTTCACATTCCTTTTCAACCTTTTTGAATTCAGGAGCCTGATCGTTGATTTCTTTTAAAGGGAAGGTCACTTTTGGAATCTGTGATTAGAGGGTAGTTTATGGTTCACATTTTGAATTGTGTGTTTGTTTTGTAAGAAATGGTTTGTTTGAGGAATTTGTATGAATTACATCTAAAAGGGCATTGAAGTACAGGGCAATACAAAAAATTTTAATGTCAAACAAACATGAGGGCACTCTCCTACCCAGAGTTCCGTGCGGCAAGCCAGCATAGTACCTCTGCCACAGGCCACAGAAATGTGACGATTCGTCACATCTTGCACCGTCCATTCAATATAATGTACATATTTCTTAACTCTTTTATTTTTGACGAGTCTACACATCTAACTAATCATCTTTAATAGAATGGTTTAGTTTCACTGAGAAAATATCCAAAATCATGTAACACTATTTCGATTTGCGTAGCGATCCTTTGTTTACATAGGTTGTACGGCTCCACGTGCTGTCGTCCGAAGCTGATGGAGAGCAAACGATGCAGCCAGTTTGATATCTATATATGTACTGTCATAAACCTAACTGTCGCAGTTGTGGAAGAATATATATGTGTTATTTTAGCTCAAACCAAAAGACCAGAATTATGATACATTATTTGCCTAATCAGTTTTTCTGTAATTGTCATTGGATTTATTTTCAGTGAGAAACAAGGACTTGACATGGCCAGAGGAGATGTCTCAACTTGCCAAAAACAAAACACTAAAGAAAGAAGATGGTGAGATCTTATAGAGAGCAGTTTTATATTTTAAAACTTGGCGTCAAAATGTGTACTGTTGCATTATGGTTACTTCCTGAAATACATTTTGAACTAACTTTCTGATGATAACTTTAATGATTTCTAATATTTGATGAATGTTGGATTAACAGCATGTAAATAAGAGTGTAAATTACGGTAAAATTCAGGGTTAGATTTAGATAGTCCTTCTCACCAAATTCTGTGTCAAGTGTTGTAATGTTTACACAAGATGATTTAGAAACTATGTGAGATGAGGCTTTTGTTCTTGGTAGTCCTATAATATAATCTTATAATTGTCTAAAACAGGCAAAGGTCTGTTCAACCAGTAACTGCAGCCATGGTGAATACACAGTTCATTTATTTTCAAAGGATCACATCCCTGACAATGCTTAGAACCTGTGCAATCTACAGCTGTGATCAGTTGAAAGTGTGTTGTTTAGAAAGGCCTGCTTTTGATTTGGTAGAAGTTAAATCAGATGTCGCGCAGCTAAAATTAAGGTTATGAAGATAGCTCATTCAGCATACAACTTTCTGGATAATAATAATAACAGTTTCTTGTTTCTTGCATAGAGTGACATTATCCATAAAGTTGTATGCTTCATTATTGACTCACCAACTTCTAGAATGTTGATCAAATAACTGACAATAAGATAGCTACTGGCAATACACAGTTAAACTGCTACCACCCTATTCTGTATCTCAGCGTGTTATCGAAGATTAGGTTTTACAGATCAGAGGCAAGATGGCTCTCAATATTTTCATGACATCTTTTAGGCCAGTGGTTAATTTTCACTTTTTTTGCATTAATTTGGCGATTCTCATTTTCACGAATTATTGTCTTTGTTTATGTTTCTTACATTGTCTATATTGTCTTGTTTCCAGTGCCAACAGAGCGAGGTGCTACGGGTCTGAATAATCTCGGCAACACGTGCTTCATGAACGCTGCTGTGCAGTGTGTGTCCAATACTTACACTCTCACACAGTACTTCAATGGAGGGCTGCATCTGTTTGAACTTAATAGGTGAGGGAGTGACAGGTTTCATAAGCTTCCTAGCCCGTCAGTTCTAGTGGGAGTCTTGGTTAGAATTGGTCCTCGACTTCCTATACTGGTTTTAAGAGACAACGTTACAGAGAATCCATGAGTCGCTTGAGAGCAGAAGCAAATATGTTTTTCATTGTATGAATCAGTGGTTGTCTGGTTCTGTTTTGATCATGTACAGACTGCTTTCATATAAGGTTGTGACTGCCTCCGTGGTTTAGTGGTTAGAGCGTCCGCCCGGGAGCGGAAGGTCGCGGGTTCGATCCCCGACCGCGTCATACCAAAAGACGTTAGAATATAGTACTTGTTGGTCCCTGCCTGGTGCTCGGCATTAATGGGTACAACAGGGACTGGTCGACTCGGAGTGAGTATAATGTGTCTGAGTGCAGTATTCATGCTTCACTGTGGCATGGTATCTCAGTGGGCTAGCACTATAAAACCAGCTTAAGTCTGGGCTAGTACAAGCAGCCGCACATACACATACACACGCATGCACGTCGTCATATGAGCGAAATATTCTCAAGCACGACGTTAAACCCAATTTCACCTCACCTAGCATGTAAGGTTGTGTCTCTGAGATGCTTCCTATGAATTATTTTGATTTTGACTTTATGCTGCACAGAACTATGAGCTGTGAAAAAGGAAAATGAGCAATTGTAAGTCAGGGCTCGATTTAAGCCAAGTTAACCCACTTGCACCAGGTGCAACCTACGATAAAAACCTAGTTACACCAGTCAAATTCCAGTTGCACTGTTTTTATTGCAATATGTAATATCAGAAATATGCCATTGAATTATTTAGGTGTTTTATTCAGAAGTTTACCCACTCAAACATTGACTTGTGCCTCGTGCACGGTAGACTAATAACTAGGTTGCACTTTGTAATATTGGGTTGCACAGTACCTGACAATCAAGAACTTGGTTTGTAAACTTTATTTGAATCAAGTCAATATAATAAATGTGTGTATATATTTACCTCATAGTGACCTGGGAAGGTCCAGGTTACCGTTGGTCTTCTGCAACCCATGCTTGTCGTAAGAGGCGACTAACCGGATCAGGTGGTCAGGCTCGCTGACTTGGTTGACACATGTCATGGGCTCCCAATTGCGTAGATAGATTCTCATGGTGTTGATCACTGGATTGTCTGGTCGAGACACGATTATTTACAGACCGCCGCCATATAGCTGGAATATTGCTGAGTGCAGCGTAAAACTGAACTCACTCACTCACTCACTTACCTCATAGTAATTGAGTGGACAGTCTCTCTGACTTGTGCCCCAAATCCATAGATCAGTGCTTATAATGTTGATCACTGGATTGTCTGGTGCAGACTTGATTATTTACAGATCACCACCATATAGCTGGAATATTGCTGAGTGCGGCGTAAAACTAAACTCACTCACTCACTCACTTACCTCATAGTAATTGAGTGGACAGTCTCTCTGACTTGTGCCCCAAATGCATAGATCAGTGCTCATAATGTTGATCACTGGATTGTCTGGTGCAGACTTGATTATTTACAGATCACCACCATATAGCTGGAATATTGCTGAGTGTGGTGTTAAACAACAAACACACATATATACTTGCCTCATGATAATTCATTTCAGTTTTGATTTGTGGTATACAATACATATTCTATTGTTAACCACAGAAAAAATCCGCTAGGAATGAAAGGCCACATAGCCCAGCGGTATGGAGATCTTGTGAAGGAGCTGTGGAGCGGGACAACGCGAACTATTGCCCCCCTCAAACTAAGGGTAAGTGCTTCTGTTTATCTGTCATATGTTGGTATTCATTTGTTCAGAGTTACCTCCCTTCCTTGGTCTGACTTCAACCTTCAGGTTACCAAATGTTTTTCCCATAGACTTCTATAGTAACGTTATATTTTTTTTTAAATCATCCAGGCTGTCAACAGCCATTCCATGTACACATGGGTACAGTCTGGCCTTTAAACTACAATAAAAACACAAATTCCTACTAACCTATCCTGCCAATTTTCCAATCACAGGAAGCTGAACACATCAACCCTAGTTCCGCACCAAATGTCACCTACTGGAAAATATCTGTACATACATTAAGCATAAGTCATGGTGATAAAAATGACAGCACTAAATACATGGTCAGTTTTAATTGCTGAATGGATAAAAATAAAAATATTACACTATTTCATCCAATCACAGCTGTCACATGTCTCTATCTCTTCAAATGATTACATACGCTACTCGCTCAGGGAGCATGTGATTCTGATTTAGTGTAGTGGAACCTTCACTCCTGTGTGTGACAACTTCATTATGTATGTGACGGACATACTGCATTTACCTCATTATCTAATTCATGTCACAGTATTTTAGTCGCAGTTGATACAATTTTTATTTATTACTGCATTTAGATCTCCAGACCCACAAGAAAGACTGTACATCAGCCAGTTTGTGCTAAACTCATATGTTTGGCTAATTTTGAAATAGCTTTTATTCAATATTTTTAAATAAGTTTCAGGAAATGCATCAAGGTAATGCCAAACCATATCTTTAATATACTACTCCATTGCTAAAGATCACAAAAATTCGCAACTTTACTGAAACGTAGATTTATAATTTGAAATTGTATCCATTTAAAACCTGGATAAATAATGATATGGTAACACATCTTTAGGAAAACAGACACTTTAAGCTAACCGTATGCACTTGATACATGAGTAACCGTAAAAATGGTTTCCATGGCACCAACCACCCATTTTGCAAATCATGGCATGGATCATTGACAAGTACACAAAACCTGTCAATAGCAGGTAGGGGATCCACAAGATGCAATGACATACTGAAAACTTGGATCAGGCTTAGATATTTAATCCAAATTTGACCCCACATCATAGTTTTCTGTTGAATCAATGATTCGATCCACAAGATGCAATGACATACTGAAAACTTGGATCAGGCTAAGATATTTAATCCAAATTTGACCCCACATCATAGTTTTCTGTTGAATCAATGATTCGATCCACAAGATGCAATGACATACTGTAAACTTGGATCAGGCTTAGATATTTAGTCCAAATTTGACCCCACAACATAGGTTTCTGTTGAATCAATGATTTGATCCTTAGCAAAGTGTGAATAGTATACATTGTATGGGGTTGTCTGTCAGGTGTCATTATAGTAACCTGGTAACAGGTTTAGGACTCGCATACTATTCCCAGATGAATTTGCATTTGTTTGTTTATTGGTTTGAGGATGCAGATTTGCAGAAAGGCGCCAAATACTTCCTGCTTGCATTTTACCATGCAGACGTGGGTAATGGTTAAAGTGAAATGGAAATTGAAATTGTCAAACAACAGAACAGCTTAGCTGGAGAAAAGTGTTTGGCATTACAATGGCCTTAACTTAGCTGCAAGTCCAATTCCATGCAGGTCAGAAGGCTGCCAAGCAAAGTGGTGAGCGGTGTTTAGGTGTGATAGGACTAATGTTCTTTCTAAAAGGGTACAAATAAACTACACTTGATAAAGGATGGTGAGTATGTGTTGATGTCTGTTTCAGTGGACAATCGGGAAGTATGCACCAAGGTTTAACGGGTTTCAGCAGCACGATTCACAGGAACTCCTTAGCTTCCTGTTGGATGGACTGCACGAAGATCTCAACAGGTTGGTTTGTTTCTATAATGTCACTCTCTGCAGTATTCCAGCTATGTAACCACCTGTGAAGATCGGGGTTAGAATTGATCTTCAGTAACCCATGCTTGTCGTAAGAGGCAACTACTGACCCATGTCATCGTATCCCAATTGCGTAGATTGATGCTCATGATGTTGATCACTGGATTGTCTGGTCCAGACTCAATTATTTACAGACCGCCCCTGCATAGCTGTAATATTGCAGAGTGGGGCGTTAAACTAACCTCAATCAATCAATCAATCAATCATGTATCCCTTTTATCTGTATATAGTCGGAGCAGTTGATGTAATCATCCTAATGACATCATGAATGAAGTGTAAATTTGAAGTCACAGTGATGTTTCAATTACTTTATTTGCTGTGTTGATTCCAGAGTCCATGACAAGCCATATGTTGAGTTGAAGGACAGCGATGGGAGGCCAGATGAAGAAGTGGCGCTAGAGGTGAGGAGATACTCTGTACAGCTTCAGGCTGACACTGTGTAGTTACATCCTCAAAGTGTTAGTGCGTACTTGTAGGACTGACTGACTGACTGAGTTTGGTTTTACGCTGCTTTTAGCAATATTCCAGCAACATCACGGCTGGGGACACCAGAAATGGACTTCACACATTGTGCCCATGTGGGGATTCGAACCCGGGTCTTCGGCGTGACGCTTTAACCATTAGGCTACCCCACCGCCCTCGTACCTGTTGGAGAAAGCAGGGATGTTTGTTAGGTGTGGGTATGCAGGTACGGGATATCTACTTTTGTAGAATGCTAGGTATGGGAAACTATGTATGTATAATGGCAGAGATGGGATATGTACCAATGTAAAATGGCAAGGGTGGGATAACTACTTTCATATGTTTACAGAGATGGGATAACCAATTGTGTATATTTGCAGGCATAGGATAACTACTTGTGTATAATTGCAGGCATAGGATAACTACTTGTGTATAATTGCAGGCATGGGATAACCACTTATTACGGAACCAGTCTATCATCGTGGACCTGTTTCATGGCCAGCTGCGTTCCCAGGTGCGATGTCAGGAATGTGGTCATGTCAGCGTCCGCTTTGATCCCTTCACCTACCTCTCTCTACCTCTACCCATGGACAGCTGTATACACCTGGAAATCATTGGTCAGTACTGCAGTAGAGATTTACAGTTATTGGAGTACAACCTTGAGATATTCAAGGAGTGGAGTACAACGTTACATGTGAAAATGTAGAGAACAATATTAGAGATATTCTTTAGTAGATATGTACAATTATTGGAGCATGTCATTATAGATGTACAAAGACTGGAATACAACGTTAGAGATGTGCAGATCGTAGCGCACAACATTAGAGGTGTACAATAAGTGTTGTCCTTCATATGTGTACATTTAACGGATTGCAAGATAAGTCTCTTATTAGGGTCGTGTTTCCTAAACAGAGGTCCTTTAATTTTCATGGACATGATCTTTCCTTCAGTGAATCGATTGGATGGGTCAGTACCAGTCAAGTATGGCCTGCGGCTAAACATGGATGAGAAATACAAAACCTTGAAGAAGGAGCTGAGTTCCCTGGCAACCATTCCTCCAGAGCAGATCCTTTTTGTGGAGGTCTTAGGCCCCATTGTCAAGGTATGTCCCCTGTCTGTACATGTCCTAGGCTCTATTGTCATGGTATCTCCCTGTTGTCAAGGTATGTCCCCTGTCTGTAGAGGTCCTAGGCACTATTGTCAATGTATGTAAACTGTCAGGAGGTCCTAGGCCCCATTGTCAAGGTATGTCCACTGTCTGTAGAGGTCCTAGGCACTATTGTCAAGGTATGTCCCCTGTCTGTAGAGGTCCTAGGCACTATTGTCAATGTATGTCAACTGTCAGGAGGTCCTAGGCCCCATTGTCAAGGTATGTCCCCTGTCTGTAGAGGTCCTAGGCACTATTGTCAATGTATGTCAACTGTCAGGAGGTCCTAGGCCCTTTTGTCAAGGTATGTCCCTTTTCTGTGGAGGCCCTAGACCTTTTTGTTAAGATACATCCCCTGTCTGTGTAGTTCTAGGCCCTGTTGTGAATGTATATCCCATGATCATGTATTATTTCATATGAAATTTGGTTACATTGATAAACATGTTACATGTACATATCAACACATTTAGCTTTGACATTAACGCACAGATTCTCACCAAGTATGGTGATTAAACATACATATAATTTCGAACGTGTTTGGTTGGGAGGCTTGAATATAACAACAAAACTCAATGCATGAATGCATTACCATTAACTTATAATGAAGATCGACACATAAAACACAATCCATAATGGTTATTACTTTGACATACAGTTGAACACTGTTGTTTCGAACTCTGATAAGTCGATATCTTGGTCCCAGCAAAATCCTTCATAATTTATCATTATTCAAGCTCTTTTAACTCGACACGGATATTTCAATATAATTTCATGGTCCCAACAAGCAAAATTACCTTTTTAACTCGATATTTGCAAAGAAACTCGATATTCACCTACCTTTCATGGGCAATGATCCCTCTGAACTGAGGTTGTTTCCACACGTTTACACACGTTGCGGTGTAGTGTAAACTAATTAGGACTAATTGAGTTGAAGGTGTCACTTGTTTGTTATTTTATTAGGATTAATTAAGAAGGAATTAATTATGAAGTACTCACTGTTACGACTAAACACTTCTGATAACGGATTATTGTTTCGAAAGAAAACATACTGAGAAGCGTTTTGTTTTCTTTCATAGTGACATGTGATTATATGCCCTGGTCGGATGTCTCGAAGTTTGGATACCTCGATATTTTTCTTGGTCCCATGAATATCGAGACAATGGTGCTCAACTGTATATATCTGAGATCATTGTTCCTTTTCATGCCTCCCCACTGCCATGTTGCCCTGACCATTCCACTGTGTACACAATCACACCAGCTCCTCACAAACACTTCAACACACTCATTGACGTCACACTTCAAAAAGGTGGCCAGATGGGCGGAAATTGACAATTTCCTGTCCTGACTCCGAATGATGAGTGGCTATTAGGCTAATCTGTCAATCATATCTCCTTCATCTGATAATGAAACAAAGCTTTTCAGGTTTTGAAAAGTACTTGGAATTCTATAGCAATTAAATGCAGTGTTTTTAAGGTTGCCATGGGTTACCAGACAGACGATTCAGGTGTGCCTTTGTAGAAATAAGTGTGCCCATACCTTTGATGATTCATTTAAACTGAAAACATTGCAACAATTATGTCATCATAATTTAATTGTTCAATAATCAGTAAACATCACGTAAACCTGTACACATGAGAGCTGGATTACCTAAACTTTATCAAGACTGCAAGTTTCATTTGTCGTCAACCTATAAACTAACCCACTAGCTACGTTATCATCCAGAATGTGATTTCCTGTTACGTGCAATGGCATTCAATGCCACTGCTAAACAGTTTGATAGGATGCAAAACTACATTTTGAATCACATTTGTGTTGGTAAAATTTATCTCATTTTCTTTCAAATAATCTTAGCATTAGTTTTATAAATTTAGTTTTGCCACCAGGGTACATTGAAAATATTTCATTTGAGCGGAAGGTCGTGGGTTCATTCCCCGGCCATATCATACCAAAAGACGTTAAAATATGGTACTTGTTGGTCCGTGCCTGGCGCTCGGCATTAATGGGTACAACAAGGACTGGTCGGCTCGGAGTCAGTATAATGTGTCTGAGTGGGGTATTCATGCTTCACTGCGGCATGGTATCTCAATGGGCTAGCACTATAAAACCAGCTTCAGTCTGGGCTAGTACAAGCAGCTGTACATACACATACACACGCATGCACATCGTCATATGAGCGAAATATTCTCAAGTACGACGTTAAACCCAATTTCACCTTACCTCACCTCATTTGAGCACTATTTGATCCCTGTAGTAGGTTCTACTCATCATGTCCATACTCAAATTACTAGAGGAAAGTACCCTTGAAGATCCCTGTTAGAATTTGTCTACAGCAGACCATGCTTGTCATAAGAGGCGACTAACAGAATTGGGAGGTCAGGCTTGCTGACTTGGTTGGCACATGTCATTGTACCCCAATTGCGTAGATCGATGCTCATGTTGTTGATCATTGGACTGTCTGGTTTAGACTCAGTTTACAGACCACTGCCATATAGCTGGAATATTGCTGAGTGCAGCGTAAACAACAGCCAAACCAAAACTTGTAGTGGGTTCTCAAACAAAATTTATTCATCATGTCCATGGTCAAATTACTAGAGGAAGGTATGGCAATTATTTGTTGAAAGAGACATGTGTTTGAAGCATCAATGTTGGTGTTTCCAAATGTATGCTGTTATTGCCTCTGATGGCAGCTTCACTTTCAGTATTGGAAGGTGTTCAGATGAAACATTATTCAGAGTAGAGGTTTTAAGCAAGATGTTCTAATTGTGAATGTGTGTCGTTCATGACTATAACAGTTGAGAAAGCATCGCTGTTTTCTTCTGTATAAATATGAACAGAAGTAAGTGCAGGAATTACTTTCAAACATGTTTGTCATACTCTCGTCTTCCACCTTGACCTCTCATTCTTGTGAGTGCAGTGTAAAACTGAACTCACTCACTCATTCTTATTCTTGACTCTGGCCCTGATCTCTGACCCCACACCTGATCTTCTAAACCTCACCCTTCTACCAAAACCACTAATACCTGCCCTCATTCTTATCTCTCACCCCACCCTTCAGCCCAAACCACCTAACCCGCACCCTTCTACCAAAACCACCTAACCCTTCTACCAAAACCACCTGACCCTCACCCTTCTATCAAAACCACCTCACCCTTCTACCAAAACCACCTAACCCTCACCCTTCTACCAAACCACCTAACCCTCACCCTTCTACCAAAACCACCTGACCCTCACCCTTCTACTGAAACCACCTAACCCTCACCCTTCTACCAAAACCACCTAACCCTCACCCTTCTACCAAAACCACCTAACCCTCACCCTTCTACCAAAATCACCTGATCCTCACCCTTCTACCAAAACCACTTGGCCCTCACCCTTCTACTAAAATCACCTAACCCTCACCCTTCTACCAAACCACCTAACCCTGATACCAAAACCACCTGACCCTCACCCTTCTACCAAAACCACATAACCCTCACCCTTCTACCAAAACCACCTAACCCTCACCCTTCTATCAAAACCACCTCACCCTTCTACCAAAACCACCTCACCCTCACCCTTCTACCAAAACCACATAACCCTCACCCTTCTACCAAAGCCACCTGACCCTCACCCTTCTACTAAAACCACCTGACCCTCACCCTTCTACTAAAACCACCTAACCCTCACCCTTCTACCAAAACCACATAACCCTCACCCTTCTACCAAAACCACCTAACCCTCACACTTCTACCTAAACCAATAATCCCTGCCCTAACCCTTATCTCTGACTCCACCCCTCATCTCCAGACCTCACCCTTATTTTTGACCTCTCATTCATTGGCCTCAAATTAATCTAACCCTCTTCCTCTCTCTCTCTCTCCTCTCTCTCTCTCTCTCTCTCTCTCTCTCTCTCTCTCTCTCTCTCTCTCTCTCTCTCTCTCTCTCTCTCTCTCTCTCTCTCTCTCTCTCTCTCTCTCTCACACACACACACACACACACACACACACACACACACACACACACACACACACACACACTTTATTCCTCATCCACTACCACCATCCCTCATAAAACATGATCATAATAAAGTGATCTTGTACACAGCACACATACATTTCAACATGTGTTTGTGTCAGAGTCTGCACCTTACTTAAAGCTGAAAATGAATCCCACTGATAAGGTTGATGAAAGCTCCAGACATCAACAGGCATACTCAACAGCAACACAGAGATTGTAAAGACCGTTACCATTTCATGAATAACTGGAGGAGTGTGTGTTCCGTACACAAGAATTACGATGTGGTTGTCAACACTCATTAGAGGTTGGCTTGGTACTCGTCTTTGGTTTGACTCTGATTTATGGTTAGCAGTCAAGTGTCGCCATCATCAATCTGCTCCACATCCGACATCTTGGAAAGGTTTTCCATATTTAGTCGGAGTGATAATGGTAACTATAAACTGTTCGCCACTGTTTGACAAGTCTGATTATTAGATTGATTTGAATTTCCATCTCACAATATGGTGTATATTGATCTGAAAAAAGAAAAAAAACTTTTAAAGGAAATCTGTTCCATGATATAATTTAGGATATGTTTAGGTAGCCATCTTTTAAGATGTAATAGCTTGTATGTGAAATGTAATAAAAGAAAATCATGGGGTGATGAAGTAGCCAAGTGGTTAAAGCGTTCACTTATCATGCGAAAAATAAGTGTTCAGATCTGTTAAATGTTTACAACTAAAATTTGGTGTTCTTTTTAATATTGCTAGTAATTGCCCAGAGTGGTGTAAAACCTTGCTCTCTCACACGTCATCATTAATGTCTGGCACTAGTACTTTTGACATTGATTTCCCTGACACATTGCCAGGCTTAGCAATCTCAGCAAGCTATGGTGGTGGCAAGAGGCAACCTATAGGATCTGGTGGTCAGTTTGAGTGACTTGGTTGATTGTCAGCAGACCCACATTGATTGTTGCTCATAATGTTGATCACTGGATGGTGAAGTTTAGACACGATTATTTACAGGCCGCTGTCGTATAGCTGGTATATCACTGGACGGTGTAGTTTAGACACGATTGTTTACAGGCCATTGTATAGCTGGAATATAGCTGAGCGTATCAAGAAACAATAAACAGCCTCAGGGGAAACAGTATTGTCAGGATGTACAGGATTCATTGGTTATGCCATTCAGTCAGTGAGTGAGTGAGTTTAGTTTTACGACGCACTCAGCAATATTCCAGTTATATGGCAGCAGTCTGTAAATAATTGAGTCTGGACTAGACAATCCAGTGATCAACATCATGAACATCAATCTGTGCAATTGGGAACCAATGGCGTGTCAGCGAGCCTGACCACCCAATCCCGTTAGTCGCCTCTTAAGACAAGCACGGGTTATTGAAGATCAATTCTAACCCGGACCTTCACGGGTACATTCCATTCAATATGAACTACTACAAATACACGTTCACATGATGTGAATGTGCCAAATTGTTTCTTCTATGCACATATTTTATTCATTGTCATTTATACCAACTCAGACCTGTGTAGATGTGCTCAAGACTTTTCAGGTGTAAGGTGCAGTTGGAGATGTAGTGAAAGTATTCAACATGCTGAGGTTGGATTCCCCAAGTGGGTACTTTTTATCGATACAATGTCCCCATCTGTTACAGTGCTAGAATACTGCTAAAAGAGGCGGAAAACAATATTCACTCCAGGAAAGTAAAGTTGTGCTTGTTTATGACATTCCAAAAAAGGAAGCTCACATGTAAAATTAAATGAACACAAATATATATGAGTCATTGAATATTGTGACTGGAAAACTGCCTCAGTGGTACCAGATCTTGTCCATCTATGGAGGAAACAGTACTGGTCACTACAGTCTCCTTTTGACTTGCACTGAATGAGCATCCTAGCTTCTGCCATTCCACGAAAGGAGGGTTTGATGGGAAATTAAGTTAACACAAATACATGACCGTCATTGAATATTGTGGTGTTGAAATTGGATCAAGGGCACCATGTCTTTTCAGACTGATATATCTATGCAGGAACAGTATTTATCACCATCGCCTTCTTTTGGACTTGCACTGAATGAGTTTCCTTGCTTCTGCCCGGGAACTTCTTGTTCATGAATGAGTAGATGATGGGGTTGGCTGCACTGTGGAGGAAGTACGAGTAGAAGAGAAGGTAGTGCAGATTTGGAAGCAGGTCGGGGATGAGGTCGGCTGAGATGAGCAACGGAGGGCAGTAAGAGATAAAGTACACCACCGAAACGATCATCAGGACCTTGGCTGTTTTGATGTGAGCTGTACGCTGACGTCCGTATGTCAGCTGTCTGTTGGGCACGTTGTCTGAGCTACCTTGGAGCTTGTTGGTCTCGTTTGAAGATGTGCTGCGACTGACGCGACAGTTTTCAGTTGATCCAAGACCGGAGTCCCCTTGCCCTGGTCCATCACTGTCGGGGTTGGAAACGTTCGAAGGCAGTTCTTGAGGTGGTTGGACTTGGTGGGAACGGACACGTACAACAAAAATATTCCCAGTTTCATTTTGGGCAGGGATGATTCCAGCGATGTGACGAAGTCGTGTCCACCAGTTCCTTCTGATGATGTGATTTTGACTCCCTTTCTGGATGTCTTCTTGCACTGGGTGAACCTTATTCTTTTTCACACTGTTCCATTTACGGTTCTGTTTAAAGACTTTAATGAAGATGAAAGAATATGTGATGGTCATTACGATGAACACTGTACAGATGATGGTAACAATGGCTTTCCAGTAACCCTGAAGTGATTCTTCAGTTATCAGGATCGTGTTTGGCATGCAGAGTCCAAGATATTGAACTTTACCTGGATTGTCACCCTTTTGGTACACTCCTACTCCAAGCGTAGGTGGCAGCCCAAGAATTATTCCAATTGCTGTTATGGCAACAATGGTCGTCTTGGCCACAGATGTTGACAGTGGACCTTCAGAGGCCATACAAATGAGATAGAACCTGTCAAATCCAATGGCCATGAGAGTCAGAGCAGAAACTGGAACAGTCGCCATCCGAATAAACTCCCACATTTTGCACACAGCGTCAAGTTTGAAGGGGTAGGACCAGTTCTTCACGAGGACTCCAGGCAGGACGGCAATACAGATGACAAGGTCAACAATGGCCAGAAACAGGATGAAGTAGGTCGAGGTGTGTTTGATGAAGCTCCGGGAGAAAACACAGATGACGATGATGTTGCCAACAGTGCCGATAACAAATAGAAGGGAGAGAACTGCTGTGAGGATGTACAAGTCGGGCACATCGTTTTGTCGCATCAAAGCATATAGGTCATCTAAAGTGCCATCGTCTGTAACATCAGTCAAATCATCACTGAAGTTCATCTTGGCCGGCAACATATCCCCTGCTAAACTTTCAGTTGAAGCTCTTCTGTCAAGAAGATTCTTTTCCTTCTTGAAACTTCATTCATAAGTTATAACTTGGGCAAGTTTGACACCAGTTCAACTTTGTATTGTGGACGAAGAGATCTGAAACAAATATTATGTATTTATATTTTTCAACTTCGGATTTGTTGGCTTTACACTAACAGGTTTAATGAGGACAGAATAGATCCCAGAGCCCCATTCCTGAAGCAATCTCAGCGCTATGATTATTGTAAGCCTAAGTCAATGTAAAGGCATTGCAAACATCTTGACACTGATAGCTCTTTGTGAAACACTGCCCTTGTTGTCTGTCACAAGCCTAGTGGTTCGCTCGTTATGCCGAAGACCCGGGTTCGATTCCCCACATGTGTGAAGCCCATTTCTGGTGTACCCCACCATGATGTTGCTGGAACATTGCTAAAACCGGCGTAAAACCATACTCACTCACTGTCACTTAGCTTAACTAAAATGGACGTTGAGTGTATTTCATCGTATTAGAATGACATGGATCCTTGGTCAGTGTATGTGTCTTGGGATTTCACAGCAGAATAATGAAGTGCTGTTTTCGAGTATCCATTGTACCAAATGTTCAGTCTGTTATGTAAATATTCAAGGCAGCATGAGCATTGGACGAAACAATTGGGATAGGTTGTCATCGATGTATCAACCTCACCACCCGATCGCCTCTTACAGTGAGTGAGTGAGTTTAGTTTTACGCTGCACTCAGCAATATTCCAGCTATTTGGCAGCAGTCTGTATATAATCAAGTCTGGACCAGACAATCCAGTGAACAACAGCATAAGCATCGATCTCTGCAATTGGTATATGGTCACATGTGTCGACCAAGTCAGCGAGCCTGACCACCTGACCACCTGACCACCTGACCACCTTACCACCCGATCACATACGTCACCTCTCCCAACAATCATGGGCTGGTGAAGACCAATTCTAGCCCGGATCTTAATGGGTCAGAATGGACATGTAAAACCAGGAGATGTAAAACCAGCTAACCAGGGGTAATCAGGTCTACTTTATTTTTTGCTATCACATCCTGATGGTGTTGATTATGTTATCAACCACTGGTTTGTTGTGACCTGATTTGATTATTTACAGATTGCTGAGATAGTCATGTAACTACATTATTGCTGACTTCAGCATAAACAACATAACTTACCTCATACACTAACATGTTAGTAACAAATTACCTTGTATGTGGTCTCTATAGAATTGGTGACATAAATTATCTCTATACCACACATGGTTAAATAAATGAAATTTCACATCATAGATTTACAATGAATGAGATTTCATATCATAAATTTAATCAATGATACGTTTTTAATCAATGATATGTTTACTTCATGTCCATAGACATTTCAAATCAAATTTGTTAATTATTGCTAGTTTTTTGTTTTTTTTATCAACCCATAGCAGCTGGAATTGGGAAAGGCAGGGGACATGGGCCATTTTGCACATTAGAATAAAAAATGGCCCAATTTTTAAGTTTACTATTGATACAAGGGCAGTGGCCCATTCTAAATTCAGAAAATGGCTAATAATCCTGAAAATGGCCCATTGTCAAAGTTGTCTATCCCAATCCCTGTAGACTAAGCAGTATGAAAACCTACATTTGTAGATGCGATTATCAGGGTTAAAACAGTTCTCTGGACTCACCTGACTTTCTCCATCTTCCACTGGACAGTGAGCATGGCGCCAATGGTGTGCCGCCCAGTACTGATGACTCCGTCAGTGTGGCTCTGTTGCTCTATTGACAGGAGATTTGTCCAATATGAGAAACGCATGTAATTTCCACCATTATTACCAGGGCAGTGAGACGGATTCATTGGAAGAGGGATTGGGCCAGGCAGAAAACAAACAGCCCTGATTAATCTTCATGGTTCTCTTATAAACTGCTACCTAATGAAATACTAACGTACCTCGGCAACCTGGAGAGCTCCTTGACGGCAGATTGAAGTGTACTCCATTTTCAAAGATGGTGCCTACGTCACAGAGGCCAACACGATAAACACAGGGATTGTCTGATTTTTTTGAAAGTGGTTTAGGGAGCAGTTCAAAAGTTTGTTAGATGAAATAAATTGTGGAAAATCTTGAGATATTATTCTGACTTCCAAAACTAGAGCTTGATTGTGAAAATGCTGACACTCTCATGATTTTTAGATCTAAAAAAACCCACACAAGTCATAGTATTAAGTCTACATAAAGTCTGTGAATGGGTACCTCATAAGGATGGAAAAGCCTCATTAACTTGGTGCGCCTAGTAGGCAGCAAGAGTTGTATGATCCCCAGGGAGTTGAGATTAAAAAATATGATGTGCCGTTGTGATGGATATCCAATGAACGAGGAAAAACAAAGCGCCTTTGAGCAGTTGTACTGGATATCGGCACTATACAAATGTTTCTATGTATGCATTTACTTCATCTAGAAGTTTTGTAGACAATCCACACTGGGTATTTAAACCTGCTTGATCTTTTAATCTAAGGATGATGGATTTTGTTTGTAGTTTGATTGTTTTTTTATTGTGATTCTTAAATTTTCAGATGGAAAATAGGATGATGAAAGTTTTATTAAGTTAAACTATAGGCACACGCAAACATTACCGGAGGAGAAACCCCAGAAAAGCATAAAGAATTCATATTTTCTTCCGCCATTGAACTGTTGAACTGCTCCCACTGTGGTGTAGTGAGATTGTTATATATGGAATACAGTTTGTCGATTGATAAGACCGGTCAGAAAATGTTTTATCAGTATTTTGAGAATGGAGTCGGCCATGTGTGCCTGTTATCAGTTGGATATGTGTCATTTGTACAGGGGGCGGTGGGGTAGCCTAGTGCTAAAAGCGCGCGCTCGTCACGCCGAAGACCTGGGTTCGATTCCCCACATGAGTACAATGAGTGAAGCCCATTTCTGGTGTCCCCTGCTGTGATATTGCTGGAATATTGCTAAAAGTAGTGTAAAACTAAACTCACTCACTCACTCGTTTGTACAGATTGTTTTCATCAACGGTTACTTATGGTAGATCTATCAAAAGCCGAAGTGCGATATTTTAATATTTGTTGTATTTATTCCGTGAATAGCCCCAAACAGAAATCAATATGAAATATAAAGAGATTGAAATATTTTTTATTTGCCTGACCATTCTATCTCATTGAATAGAACAAATATAAAGACTAAACTCCCCAAATCATTAAAATCATAGTTACTTTCAACTTTCTAGATAATAGTAATAAAATTTTATTTATACAACCTCTGGGCTCCACCTTCAGTGAAATTATCATTACTGTTAAAATACCAAACAAGGTGGCACTGTGTTTTTACCTAAATTGATCAATATTCAAACAACTCCTTTGCAAAGAAAACAACATATTGTCCTAGGTAAATGTATCCATTTTTTAAAGCAATCTAAGCTAATCCCTTTGCAAGATTCAGTAGCTGCAGAAAACGGAGTGGTCTTGTCTTACTAATGTTAGTAGCTTTTAATGATAGTGAGTGAGCGATGTGGTTTCATGCTGCTTTTAGGAATATTCCCGCAACATCACGGCAACGGACAGCAGAAAAAAATGGGCTCACACATTGTACCCATGTGGAGAATCAAACCCGGGTCTTCGGTGTGACGATTAACCTCTATGCTACCCTACTGTCCCCTTTTAATGATAGAAAATAGGAACTTGTCTCAGTCCCGTGGGTTCAGAGCCATAACTCAGTGGGCCATCTGGCGTTCTTGTGCAGATAGCAGTGTATCAATACTGGTTCTAGGGCCTGACACATGTACACAAGGGTATTAAGTAGGCTCTATAACAGATTAGTTTTGTCTGGTGATAAAGGTGTTTTCTGCAGTGGAAACGATACAAATAATGTGTTTTGCTGCCATTGTAATCCTGTTATTGAAATGTAAAGCCCTCTTTATGTTGTTGCTGATTAGAAATACTTTACATGGAGAATATAAAAGATGTGTATTTTAGCTTTCGGACGTGGTAGCCGTGCCAATTTGCATTTGTCAGAGGGTTACACAAAGTATGTGATCTTGACTACCAGTTGTTCTGGTTCCATATTGTGGAAGTCGCGGTGGCTGATTGGATTACATGGCTGATATTGTATGCTGGCAATTAGGTGTCTCACTCTACCAAAAAAAGTACTAGAATCTGTAATTTACTGAGAATGTGTAATCCCAAATATTACATATGTTACATTTGACCACTTTCTAAATGGCATTGTTCATTCATAAAAGATGAGAGTCTGGGGTTGTTATCTGCCAGTGTTGGGTGTAAGAGGTGAGGTGAGATGAAATTGGGTTTAACGTCGTGCTTGAGAATATTTCGCTCATATGACGACGTGCATGCCAGTGTATGTGTATGCGCGGCTGCTTGTACTATCCGAGACTGAAGCCGGTTTTATAGTGCTAGCCCACTGAGAAACCATGCCTCAGTGAAGCATGAATACCCAACTCAGACACATTATACTGACCCCCAGCCGACCAGTCCTTGTTGTACCCATTAATGCCAAGCGCCAGGCAGGGAACAACAAGTACCATATTTTAACGTCTTTTGGTAAGAATGATATCAAGAAAATAATATAGTCATTTGTAAAAAAGTTTTGGATGAATTATTGAACATGCTGTTTATGACATAAAATGACTGCAAGTCTTTCTTTCTTTGTTCTTCAACAAATCACTTAACTCTATTCTGGTTTTACGACTGCCATAAATCGGACACTTGACCACAGCCATACAAGTACCTCTTTAGTGAATGTTGTAAACGTTTCATTGAGCTGTAAAACTTGGACTCCAATTTGTCTTGGATGTTGCTGAACCATTATCAAAGCTAATATATTCATAAAATTCTCTTTCTGCCTAACAATCTACTTAGCAACACCTAGCAACATGTACATAAAATACCAATCAGTACCATGGCAACAAAAGAACATTTTTGACTGTCTGTATTTGCATCCTAATGCACAGCATTTGTGTTTAGAGTTAGCTCCCCTTGAATAGCCAACCAATCTCACAGACAGCTCCCTGTACACTTACTGATGAATTATATGTAGAACAAGCAAAGATTGTCGTAAAGTTATCTGGTAAATAACAAGTCATAAACATTTTCACAATTCACATTAATGGCATTCCCACAGACTCACACAGTGAGTGAGTGAGTTTAGTTTTTACGCCACACTCAGCAATATTCCGGCTTCATGGTGGTGGTCTGTAAATAATCGAGTCTGGACCAGACAATCCAGTGATCAACTGCACGAGCATCGATCTACGCAATTGGGATACAATGACATATGTCAATCAAGTCAGCAAGCCTGACCACCCGATCCCTGAAGATCAATCCAAACCTGGATCTTCACGGGTACAGACTAAAACAAAATAGATGTGTCACTATACTTGGGATTTGAGGGGAAAGTTTCAATATTCTTCTATAACATATGTTATATTTGGGATTACACTTTCTAAGAAAAGTACAGATTCTAGTACTTTTGTTCGGTCCCATCTGGGATTCGAAGCCCCACTCTCAGTCAGGCACCTAATTGCCAGCCTACAAAGTCAGCCATCTAACCCACTCAGCCACCACAGCTTCCACAAAAATGGAAGTCGGACAACTAGTAATCTAGACCACAGACTTTGTGTACCCCTCTGATAAGTGTAAATTGGCACGGCTCCCACGGCTGAAAGCTATGAATACACAATGCCATTTAGAAAGTGGTCAAATGTAACACATGATATATTTAGGCTTACACTGTCTCAGTAGAGTGCTTGTAATGGCCGATTGGTGGCAGCCATGATGCTAAAAGGTTAAAACAGATTTCACATGCCTTGAAGGAGATTAATAGTCATGATGGTCATGTACTGGGCAAGGATAAAGGCAAACTGATTACCTGTTTGGGTGCAATAGTTGAAATTGTGTTTACATACGATAAGCAGGTTCCATCAACACAGTCATCTATATCTAGCTTCAGTGAGGTTGTCGACTGACTACTAGGGGGTTTCGTTGATTTTGTACATGACATGCAGGGGGTTCACTTACAGTGTACATAACATGGGGGGGGGGGGAGATTCACATTGTACATGCTTCTCCATAAAAATACTCACACCCCACTCCCCTAGCCATATATCATGAACATCATAAGTTCTATAAATCTGCTCTCTAATTGACTTAGTTCAACTCCTTATTATTCATTTCATTTGTGAGTCATATTTGACGAAAGACTGTTCTGACGTGACCTGTCCTGGGATGCCCTAATGTCTTTGTGTGGCAGTAAGGGACACTGAGATCTGACTGCAATATGTGAAGCAGTTCCTTGGTGACTCCAATCTTCAAGTGGTTGGCATCATTCCCTAAGCTGCTTAAAGACATCTCTCTCATCAAGATGGAATATTTCATGTTTGGTAACATTCTCATATCTTATTTGTAGACATTACCACAGGACAATCAGAAAATCCGGACATTACTTGGAGGAACGCTGTATGCCTACGAGTTACCACCGACACCTGAAATTGAACCTCTGTCTGCAGAGGAAGAACAGGCTCTTTCCAAATCCACAAACACCACCACCACCATCAGCACAACCAAAGAGAGCATCGGACTCAGTGAAATACAGAGAGGATTAACATCAAGTAGGTCACTGGTCTGATTGATACCTCTGGATTCAGAGTTGTAATCTTGTATTGTTTCTCCGTTGTGTATTGGGGTTTATTTCACTTTGTTTAGGTGGTATTTTTCCTGAAACTGCTTGTGATCAAAATAACATTATAGCTAAAACACATGGAATTATCATGAAACGGCCCTCCTATTATCAGAAATTTGCGGACCGCTGCAAATGATATTGGACCGCTCAACCTTAACGACGTGCCACTATCAGTTCTGTTGTCAAGTGACGTCATAGTGGGTGCGACGGTTCATTCGACTTTGGCTTTGGACTGGCAGATATTCTGGGGCAAACAAGTCAAAGCAACCCGAATTCCCGCTTTAAATAGCAGTAATATTGGCTTTCCTGCTGGTGCTAACCTTAACAATTGCACTATTAACGTTGTTGTTGGACCAAATCCGAACACTGACAACTGACGTTGTGTCTGACATAGTTTGACATGTTGCAGGTCATGGTCTTGTCAAAGGCCAAGGTTGAATATCGTCACGTTCTGTCGTGACATCACTTGAATTGTTCGATGACGTAATTGCATTCGGTCAGTCAATCAGTTTAGGAGAAGGGGCCTTGTGATCCATGAGGTCTGCATTATTTGAGAAATGTTTGCCCAAAAATATGAAATTTGTTAAAAGGTAAGCAGAGGTAGATCTATTCTTACTAATTTGAAATAGGCTTTTTTTTTTAATCTGACAATTGTCGCTGTTGACTTTTGTAAAGACTTAATGTATAGGTAATGCTGATGTATTCAGAATATTATTTCACTTTTGTAGTTTATCTTTCTTATCCATCAAAAATATTGTCTTTGTTCAAATAAACATACTTTTTAACTATTTTTTATTCTATATGATTATAATTTGTTTTCTGATTTTAAAGTTTGAACCCGATGGTCACGTCTGAAACTGAAAAATGAAACAAGTGTAACCTGAAGAAATGTGTATTCTCCTTATAGAACATTCCTAGTGTATTGTTCATGATCATGGGGGAGAGGGAGTAGCCTAGTTGTTAAAGTGTTCGCTCGCCACACCAAAGATCTGGGTTTGATTCCCCACATGGGTACAATGTGTGAAGATCATTTCTGGTGTCCCCCTCCGTGATATTACTGAAATATTGTGAAAAGCAGCTTAAAACTAAACTCACTCACTCACTCCATGATCATGATCAAATAAGGAAGTAAATATTCTCCTTGTAGAACGCCAGCCACAGAATTCTTCATCCGTCAATGGCAACCTGCCAAATGGTCAACCACCGCAGCTTGAAGTGTCACCAGCCCACCGATCAGAAACTGACTCCCCAGGTGCTCACTCCCGCAGTCCCAGCAGCACCAGCAACATCACCGACAGCATGATCAAATCAGGGGTCGACACCCTCTTCAATGGCTTTGTTATTGGAGTACACAGGAAAATGGTGAGTGGAATAGAAACAATTAGTCTGTTGTTGTTTTTCGCATCATATATTATTATTTTTATGGGATTTTAGATCTCAGGTATTATTTACTCACCTCACCTGGCTTCAAGGCTAACTGTCATGTATGTCTTTTTGGGTGGAGACCCATGGAAATTCGGGGTAAGCATGCATAGTTTCCCAGCAAGATATGCTTGTGGATGGGCTTTTTCAGGCATGATAACAGGCATTTTAATTGCATGTCTTGATGCTCATGATGTCAATCACTGGATTCTCTGGTCTAGGGTCAGTTATTAACAGAACAGCTTCATATGGCAGGAATATTCCTGAGTGAGGTGTTAAACTACATACTGTTTCGGTGGCCCAGATGTGTTGTCAAATCTCACATCACCTTGATGCTGATTACTGGTTTGATGGCAACTCTCCAAAGCTATTGAGATTCACGATGTCAGTAACTGCATATCCTGAATCACTTCCGGCTTTTCTCCACATTAATCTAACTCACCAATAGATCTGCCATTCTTTCAGTGAGGTGAAGAAATATATTCATATATTTGATTTGTTACTCATTGTAATGAAATAAAATGGTTTTGTTAGCATGAAAAACAAACACTGTCATTAAGTTAATACAAGTCTACTCCTGCTCACGACCTTATAGTCCAGACATCCCGCTTCCAAGCTGCGCAAACCTATTCACTGCGCATGCACCATGGGCGCAAGCAGTGCAGCTCAGCACAGCTGTTGACACCACATTTCACCCCAGCCGGGATGAATTTAGTGAATCGTTTGAACTCCGATTTCGCGGGGGGTTTTCCATTGCGTTATTTTTCAAGTTGAATTTGCATTTTTGATCATTTGTTACTGTAATTCCATACCGTAAGGTATCAGAATCTGCAAAGTTGTGTTTTACGTTGCATGTGACCTTTAAGTTAATAACAAGTCTAACATGCCCTTTCCCTTTTTTTCAGATATTGATGGATGTATATTTCTTATCATCTCAAAAAACTCGACCAAGTTTGTTTGGGACACCAATAATTATTCCATGTGTTGAGAAAACAACAAACCAGGATCTCTACAAATTTGTGTGGACACAAGTCGCTCGATTGGTCAGTCCGCTCCCTCCTTCAGAGGCCAAAGCAGCCAATCACGCGCAAGCCTCCAAGATTGGTAAGTCACTGCTATTATGCATTATAACCATTTGAAACTATACTATACTCTTTGCTTTATACATCATTGCCATAAATGATTTTGTTCATCACTAATCAAAAGGTTTTTAGATCTTCAAAAGAAGTCTTCTTTACTGTCAGCTATCCATAATCAGTTGTACCTATAATAGTCTCTCACTGCCCAATGCTCCTGTGCACCAGAAACAAAATCCTGAGTATTTGTAGCAGATGTTTTTGTTGTGTCACTCTGTAGTTACCTTACGTTTTTTATTACAGTTACTGCTACAGTCCGTTTGGCTCAAAATCGGATCGATGAATTACAATCTAACTCGAAAACTAATAAACATATAATACTCAATGACATGCTGATCATAATCAAAACATCAGATTAACTCTTTGAGTTTTTGCAGAATTTATGCCCTAAAAATAAAAAAGTTGTTTAACAAATTATCATTAAAATATTTACACAGTTCACAATTTGTTACAAGGGAGGAGTGCAAAGAGAGGAGCATATATCCTGTCGTAATTATAATCATAATCATAATCATACTCTTCATCAGCACTAGTCTGCACTAGCTAGATAATTCTTAAGTTGACAGTGTTGTTTAAATACAGAAAGAAATCTACTATTAGGGGCAAAGAAAGGAAAATTTCATTTCAGTTTCAACAAGCCTGTATACTGAACATCATTCTCAGACAGTATTAAACACTATTATGCACAAGTTGTGTAACATAGAGTGAAGAAATACAGCTTTGAGATAGAAAATCAAACTGGCCAGTTGAGCTACATAGAGTATATTTTCGTTAGCCAGAGAGAAATGGAAGTAGCCACGGGCAGCTGGACAAGCACCTATTTTGTCATTAAGTATGGTAAAGACTAGAATCAAACTTGCTAGTTCTGCCAACTGGGCCTGAGCCTCGTTCCCCTTTAAAACAACTTCTTTGAGAGGCATTTAGAAGAGCAGTAAGAGCCTCCCCATTGACATTAGAAACATTCAAGATGTTGCCACTTTCCAGAAACATCTTAAGACATATATGTTCACGAGAGATGCGTTGGAATAGACTCCAGTCAATGTAGAACTCCTAGAAGCGCTTTTGAGCAGTGATCACTGGATACTAGCGCTATATAAATCCAATCTTATTATTATTATTATTATTAAGGAAGGATAACAATATATGGATGAACAACTTGTTTATTACAGTGAGGGCAACATTTCGGTGTAGGTTCTAACACTGTTATCAAGTAAGTCAGTGTGATGACTTGCTCTCATCACTCTCACTGTAATAAAGAAGTTGTTCCTCCATATATGGTCATCCTGCCCTTTAAACCAGTTATCTATGTATGTCTATGATAAGGATGAACCCTGGAGGGTAGTGCAGTATTCTTAAGGTCTACGTTCCTTGTCTGAATACCTCAAGTTAAGGTTTTTAAATTAAACTTGACACATATACATGTTGTTACCTTTGATTTTTGTCAAATGTAATTGGCTTTATGTTTTCATTGACAGTGATGACAGTCTTTGTTATGAATACCCCTTCACACTGAAGGTCGTTCAGAAGGACGGGTTTACATGTGCCAAATGCCCATGGTATAGGTAAGTTTTCTACATATGTCACATTATTTACTCTATGATGATGATGATGATGACAGTGATAATGTTTTATGATGATGACTTGCTATGATTATGGTGATAGTGATATTTATTTGACATCTGTACTATATCCACACATGCTCAATCACCCAAACATTACCACAGTCTGCACAGGCAAAATCAAGTCACGAAATTTCTCAAGTTAACTATTGAATAATCGTGACAAACACTGCTGTGTGTCCCAGAATACCTATCACTGCCAAGTTCTCAAAAGAATACGTTTAGTCACATCAGTCATGATATACTAGTGTCTGCACAACTGCTGTTGCTTTTTAAGGAAAAGTCACTTCTTAAAGAAATCCATCACTAAGAATGTATATGTACATTTGTTCCAGATTCTGCCGAGGTTGCAAGGTGGATTGTAATGCTAATTTATTTAACTTTGGTGGATCGTTCCTGGCAATAGACTGGGAGCCCACGGCGCTGCATCTCCGCTACCAGACAACTCAGGAAAGGGTGAGTAGTGGACCTGTAGAGAGACTGGCATTCTTGCAGGCCAGGTCGGGCTCGCTATCTTGATTGACACATGTCAACTTATCCCAAGTGCTTAGATTGATGCTCGTGCTCTTGATCACTGGATTGTCTGGTCCAGATTCAATTATTTACAGACTGCCACCATGTAGCCGGACTATTGCTGAGTGTGGCGTAAAACTAAACTCACTCACTCACTGTGTGAGTCTGTGGGAATGCCATTAATGTGAATTGTTAAAATGTTTATGACTTGTTATTTACCAGATAAATTTACGACAATCTTGTTCTACATATAATTCATCAGTAAGTGTGACTCCTGCCATATAGCTGGGATATTGCTGAGTGCGGCTTTAAACAACAAACAAACAAAACAAACTTATGGAAAACAATTCATCCTTGATCTTCCACTGTATCATGTCTCCATTGTATTACAATATATACACTAGCCTTGAATCGGGGCAGCATGGTAGCAAAATAAACATCAAGTCAGGTTACTCCATTCTTTCATGATTGAAACAAGTGGTATTATCCCCAGTGGACAATAATGGAGTTGTACATTCCAACATCAACATGTCGCAAAAGGATTTCCCTTAAAGTCAAAGTATTCAGGAAGGTGGTCAAGTGGGTAAAGCATTCGCTCGTCACATCAAAGGTTAGGTTTATTCCTCTACAAAAAAGGGGCGGTGGGGTAGCCTAGTGGCTAAAGCGTTGGCTTGTCACGCTGAAGACCCGGGTTCGAATCTCCACATGGGTACAATGTGTGAAGCCCATTTCTGGTGTCCCCCGCCGTGATGTTGCTGGAAAATTGCTAAAAGCGGCGTAAAACCAAACTCAGTCAGTCAGTTAGTCCTCTACAAAAAAAAAACTAGCCACCCAGTCTAAGTAAACTTAGGCTCAGTATTATTCGTTACACTGCTATACTGAGTCTAACAAAACCTTGTGGAAGGTCGCGTCAGATAACCTTTTCAATTGACCAATCAGAACACAGCTTACCAAATCGCGAAAGTTGACATTCGCACATACCTTTTGAACTTTTACCTCCAAAAAGTTTGTACCGAGCGATTCCGAATGCTATTTTCCGTACGATCGGTTCCTAGTGAGGCACGCCACATCAGTGAGTAAACAGTCGCTGAAAATAGCGTTTAGTCAGTATTCAAGCATGTCAGCTTGCTGAAATATTAGCTATGATAGCCATGTCACCAGAAACCCCAAAGAGTATATACTGCAGGGCAAATATCTGTGTTTTATGCAATTTTCATTTGTTGGGAGATCAGTGTTGGCGAACGGGGAAGAGAAAATCCATTTTGTAAGTCCCACCGAACCCTAGAAAGTAGCTGTTGTCTGATTGGTTAAATCCGTTCGGCCGTCTCACGTTTGATTGGGCGGTCATAGGTCGCTCAAAGGTTACCTGACGCGACCTTCCACAAGGTTTTGTTAGACCCAGTATAGCAGTGTAACGAATAATACTGAGTCTAAGTTTACTTAGACTGACTAGCCACCTAAAAAAACATATCTGGGAGTTACTGATATGTGAGGAGTTACTATTCAAGTTGACAACTTATATCATTTTTATATTCCATGTTGTCATCTGTACTTTCAGTTTTTTGAGGAGCATGCAAGTGTTGAAGAGAGTCGCCGGAAGCAGACGGAACCGATTGACCTGGACACTTGTCTGCAGGCCTTCACCAAAGAGGAGGATCTCGGGGAGGAGGAGCTGTACTATTGTTCCAAGTGCAAGAAACACTGTCTGGCTTCCAAGAAGTTGGACATCTGGAGGCTGCCTCCCATACTGGTAGGTTGCCAGACAACACATACTCATGGTTTCAGGAAGCCCATTTCTGGTGTCCCCCGCCATGATGTTGCTGGAATATTGCTAAAAGCGGCGTAAAACCAAACTCAGTCAGTCAGTCATGGTTTCAGGTTGACCTGGAGGTGGAAATTGCAAATTGCTGTACAGAGTTGCTTCCCATGGCTTATGCTGATTGTCTTGGGTTTGCGCCATTTATGATCCTTTCAAATGGTGTGTTACCTGTGAAGAATTGGTCTTCAGCAACCCATGCTTGTCATAAGGGGCAACTAACAGGATTTGGTGGTATCACTGACTCGGTTGATACATGTCATCATGGTGGGGCTGGGCATGTTCAGTTGAGATAAAACAAGTCACAGTATGCAGCCCTAGGTACGGCTTCTGTTGATGTCAGAGTACGTATTAGAGTGATGACATCCATATCTTGTCAGCTTACTAACAGGCTTAGCAACAGATCAGAAAATCTGTGGTTAGATTCCTAGCACAGGGTTTGGAAATCTTGTGTCTGCTACAGTGGCATGGATATGTGGTCCAGAAGCCTAGTGAAGGGCTGCAGTTTGCCTGGAAAATTACCTCCCTTAGCAGTACCAGGATGCGTTTGGGGTTGTCTCAATCAATATTCTTGATCATCATGATTTTTGTGGCAGATCAGCTCTGGTTTGTGTCAATTCAAATATTCTGTCTGACATGCTTTTATGTAACTGAAGTACACTTATACAAGGTGTTATTCACAACTAGCAAGCAAACACCAATATACCATGTTCTGTTGGTTTGATACCCCCTCCAGTTCATATATTCTTTCTAGAATTGAAGTTCTGAAATATATTTGTCTGTTTACAGATCATTAACCTGAAAAGATTCCAGTTTCTTAACGGGCGGTGGGTGAAATCTCACAAAATTGTGAAGTTCCCGTCTCGGAACTTTGATCCTAGTCACTACCTTGCACCGAGAACACCAAAGAGAGCCAACATCAAGGAACTGGAGGAGGGGCCGAACACCACAAAGGAAAGCAGCGAGTCTAGCGTAACACAACATTCCAAAACACCAAACGGTTCCGCTGGACACCCAACAGGTACACCTTCCTCCCGTTCACTTATCATATTCTCTACAGCCACTGATGGAGGGGTGGTGGGGTAGCCTAGTGGTTGAGTCACGTTGATTCCCCGGGTTTGATTCCCCATGTGGGTACAATGTGTGAAGCCCATTTCTGGTGTCCCCTGCAGTGATATTGCTCGAATATTGCTAAAAGCGTCGTAAAACTAAAGTCACTCTAATGGGATGGATGGGCAGAGGGGTAGCCTAGTGGTTAAAGCATTCGCTCATCACACCAAAGACATGGGTTCAATTCCCCACATGGGTACAATATGTAAAGCCTATTCTGGTGTCACCCACCATGAGGGAATATTTTAGTATTAAACTATGCTCACTCACTCTGCCAAGATGGCCATGTGATATTTGTTCTATGCCATCCCCATCTTTGGTAGATACTGTATGTCAGGGACACTTGCCCTTAAGACTTGCTCCTCAGCATCTTAAACTAGTGATAAGAAGCTGCCAAATGGATCAGGCTTATAATTTACAAAGCGATATTAGTGCGGAGGAGACCATAACTCCCATACGTTAACTGGATCCAAACCGGCACTAAGGCTTGTTTGTACAATGGAACCTCTTCAGTCAGGCTGGGTAACTTAGTTGTCAGTCGGTACATTGTAACACGACAACATGGATCATTGAACTGTTTAGAGGCATTCTAGAAGTTGTAAGCATTTCGGTATAGATACTTATGCCGTTTTCAAGCATGATCATGTTTGAAAACGGTATAAGTATCTATACCGAAACATCGCTATTGTACAATAAAGAAACTGATTGTCCATAAAGACTTGTCATTCCCAACATGGATCATTGCCCGGAGTATCAGTCACTTGTCTATACTCAAGTTGTTCCAGAACACCATCATCTAGCTGGAATATTGCTGGGTGTGGGGTTACTTAACTAACAAACCCAAAGTGGAGTCTTGTGGTACATGAAGTATGGCAGTACCTTCAGTAAAAATAATAATAACAATGCATTTATAACGCGAGCCTGCTTTCCAGCTTACAGCTGTTCAACGGCGCTAAACAAATCTAGGTTAGAGAGACTCCAGAGAAAAGGAAGGTTTCCAAGTGAGTTCGGAAGGATGAGACGTTGTCGATGCAACAGAGTTTAAGGGGAATAGAGTTCCAAAGAACTGGGGCTGTCACTGAGAAGGCGTCACTGCCAATTCTGGTTTTGGTCACAGGAATACGCAACAAACGACTTCTTTCAGATCTGAGAGATCTTGAAGGTTGATACTCGTTGACAAGTTCTTTCATGTAGATGGGAAAGTCATCCTCATATAAAGTTCTGTGTGTTAGTAAGAGGTACTGGTTAGTACTGGTGGTTTGATGTATCTGGTGGTTTGTTGTGGTCAGATTGTGGTGATACTGCTGTGGATGGTGGAGAGAAGAAATGCACAGCTCTAGCTCGGTGTGGCTCCCCAGGAACAACCACAGACTACACCATAGAAGACTACTCAGACGTGAAATATGATCTCTGCTCCATGTCTGTAAGTACAACTTCATCCACTCCCAACACAATCACATGGGCTCTGGTCTCACATGAGAAATGAATGTATTGATTATTTTAGGCACTTTTACTAATTACTAAGATATGCTTGTATGAATGCTCTTGTCACTTATACTGAGAACTTAAAAAATTCTGTCTTAAACATTCCCTCTGGATTATGGTTGCCTTCTCCCTGTGGGTATCACAGTGACATACAGAAATGGAAATGAACATTTTAACTAAGTCGTAGCTATGCCTAAAGAGTTACATAGTCATCTCCCTTAGCTGTGACATCACAGCATTGTTGTTTGAAAACCCTTGATAAATTTTTTGTTTGGACCACATACAAGACGTGTTTCAGAAGTGGAAGTAATTTCAATTTCTTCTTCAAAACTCATTCAAGTTTTGTTACGATCTTCAATCTAGCTGGTCAGTAGTGTCGCATTGGTCACTTGTGGACAATCATATTCATTTTTGATTGACATTTGTTGTATGTGATTCACCTTATCAGACTTTATTGGTTTTCCCGCCAAAATTATCATGTCTCAGACCAAGTGTCTGGTTGAGGGATCAGGATGTTAACCTGACACAGTATCAGTGGAGATGTTTTCTAGTTATCACACAGGGAAGTATTGTATACAGAATCTGAAACAAAAATATCAAATACAGTCTAGATTACTGCAATTTGCTGAAAAAGAGGAAAATGTCTTGGCTTTTTTCATTTTGTCTTATTCAATAAAATAACATTTTTTTGTGTAAAATATATTCATTTCAGAGACTAGAAGTTAGTGTGTATAGGAGTAAAAGATCTAATTAGATCTTATTGTGATGAGATTATGATATGACTAACATAGATCAGAGAAGTGTAAACTCTTCATGTAATCTGTGGATAGATTGCCAGCTTGTATCGAGGTGACGATCATGCTCTGTGTTTCTTGCAGTGTCACACGGGGATCTTGGGTGGAGGACATTATGTAGCGTATGCCAAGAACCCTAACAATCGCTGGTACTGCTACAATGACAGTAGTTGTAAGGTAAGTTGTGTGGAGGACATTATGTAGGGTACACCAAGAACCCTAACAATCGCTGGTACTGCTACAATGACAGTAGTTGTAAGGTAAGTTGTGTGGAGGACATTATGTAGCGTACACCAAGAACCCTAACAATCGCTGGTACTGCTACAATGACAGTAGTTGTAAGGTAAGTTGTGTGGAGGACATTATGTAGCGTATGCCAAGAACCCTAACAATCGCTGGTACTGCTACAATGACAGTAGTTGTAAGGTAAGTTGTGTGGAGGACATTATGGAGGACATTATTGTGAGCTGCTAGCCTTGTCTCAATTTGTAATTTTCATAGAATTTAGTGTTATTATGTTATTTATTATTAGCTGAGCTTGAAGAAACAGTAATAATAGACTCAGCTTAAGTCACACACTGAAAGGGACATGATGATCGAAGACACACTGGAGGAAATGATACATTTGGTATGTGCAAGGGTGCACATTTAACTGTGCGGAGTTGTGTCCCCTGGGACATATGTCTAAGTTTGTCAGCACCATACCTGCTTGTTGATTTTTGTTTGTTGTTTAATGCCGCACTCAGCAATATTACAGCTATATGGTGGTTGTCTGTAAATAATCGAGTCTGGACCAGACAATCCAGTGATCAACAGCATGAGCATCGATCTACGCATTTGGAACACAATGACATGCATCAACCAAGTCAGCGAGCCTGACCACCCGATCTCGATAGTCGCCTCTTACGACAAGCATGGGTTGCTGAGGAATAACTTCAGCCTGGATCTTCATGGGTCCCAATGATTTTCACCAAGGAGGGTAACGTGCATCAGTTTGGGAGTTCTTCCCACATGAAGCTGACATGCTGTGTCATGACTAAAATACTTTTTGAATCACTCAAATTACTATTTTTTCTTTTCTTTTCAGGAAATCCCTGAGACCCAGCTTGACACAAACTCCGCATATATTCTGTTCTATGAACGGAGGCAACTTAACCCAAGCAAGTTCATGCCAGACGTAACAGGGAAAGAACCCGATATGTCCGAAATTGATGATGAATGCGAGTCTGATCTCAAGAAAATGTGCGTCATACAGTGATGACAATGAGCGTTGCAGTCTTGACAATGTGTGTTTCACAGTTTTGACATTATGTGTGTCACAGTCTTGACAGTGTGTGTCGTGATGACAAAATGTGATATGTTGTGGGGGGGAGGGATTGTTATCATGACGTGTCATGCAAGCCATCATGACGTCATGTTGTGCATATACATAGCATAGGCAAGGCATGAGTTGAAGGCTGTTGGCTGTTTACACTGTTATGTAGTATTTAAGGGAAAGAGAAGACACAGTTGCTACAGAAGGCACAGAATACCAACAGCAGTGGAACAAGAGCTGCTTGTGGATGGAGAAGATCAGACGCTCCAAAGTACGAGAATACTTACAGTTATAGGCAGGATATTAAGCTGAAAAAAGTGGACGGAAAAAGAACAAGGGCACAATGTTGAATTTGTATGACTAAAACGTTGGATCTATGTGAGACTCAGATACCAGTTAGTGAGACCATGTTTCGATCAGTCTTATAATCTAATCCATTTAATACTTTTATATAATGCCTTCTCTGTCTTAAGATCTGATGACACTTCCATGGATGCTTGTGTCTCATGACCTTGACCCTGCTCTGGTCCTTGAGGCTCTGAAGTCTGATTTCTGCAACAAATTGACTTCAACTTTTTAACCATAATTCTGGAAGTTTGATCGCAACAAAAAAAATAATCCCCGAACACAACATCCCCAAAATCAGGTGTAGAAGTCTTGGCTTCCTGAAATGGCACAATGTTTAAAATAAATATAAAATATTAAGAATAATGTGAATTTTTGTCCTTTACGATACAATAATCGAATTGTTTTGATCTGAATGTTTGACTCAATGCTGATTGGTTGGTTAGAGAGTTCATCTGACGTGTGACCTCTGCCCAGATGGTGTCGTCAGATCTTCATACAGGGAGGTATCATATTGGCGTAAAAAAAACATATGAGATTGTGTTATGACTAATTTATTTTCCTTTTTCATGGTTTTTCCTTCTCAGTGTTTGTCATATCACAGGATTTTTAACAAGTTTCATTTGGTCCGTGAATATGCAAAAAATCACTCAAACATCCTGTAGTCAAACGTCAGTGTTGGTTTGAGGATGATTATTAATTTCCTTCACTTAATATAAAAGTTTTTATTTAAAAGTACAAACACGTTTCATTTTCATATCTAATTGTTTTTGTTTGAACTTTGCCAGGCAGTTTCATCCCTAAGATTAGAGAGTAAGTTGCTCTGGTCTTTCATGATTGGTTTAATCGAAATGTTGACTGGACTGACTTCGTGGAAATTTAATCTCAATTAATAATTGATACAGAAGTTGATAGATTTATTCTGAATTTGAAATGGTATTAGACTGATGACTTTCGAATAATAACAGAACTGTAAATTGAAATTACTCATTTATGATAATGACAGGCACAACTTTCAATATGGTGGCCATTATTCACTGGTATCTATGTGTGAGAGAAATCATTAACACCTGGATTGCCTTAACATCAGAATTTACTCCAGTAGGATACATCCCTGCATGAATATCTGATAAGGTAATCTACAAGGATTCAGTCCTCAATGCAAGTAAGCAAAGTAGACCAGCAAATCTGAGTTCTGTTTCAGACTGAACTTAAACGGACAGTTCTGAATGTAAAGAGAAAAAATACATTGTTTTAACACCATCATTTCTGAAAACTATACTGGCGCAGCGTACTAGTTATTGCCCACGCCTGGCTGTAGCGTTTGCGCAGACAGCTTGAGTTTAACTCTCGTAGCCTATCGCTTTTGTGATGTGTCTGTGTGTGAAGTCAAGCTGTCTATGCAAGCGCTACAGCCAGGTGTTGGCGATAACTGGTCGCTAGCCAGTAGCATCTACACCACAAATTAAGTACAATCAGAGAAGTATTTGTGTTCTGCATGAATTTTCTTTGTTAAAATAACAATTATGGAATCAAGATCATCAAAAAATGAACGCCAATCCTGTGGGCAGTCAGAGTTTAGTCGGGTTTCACCAAAAAAACAACCTTCTGTTGAGGGTTGTCAGATATTCATGCAGATATAGGGGTGGTGGGGTAGCTTAGTGGTTAAAGCATTCGCTCATCACACCGAAGACCCAGGTTTGATTCCCCACATGGGTACAATGTGTGCAGCTGGTGTCCCCTGCCATGATATTGCTGGAATATTGCTAATGCGGTGTAAAACTAAACTCACTCACTCATGTAGATATATCGGGTTAGGGTGAAATATCTGATGTCGTGAGATTGCATAGAGCTGTGATGGAGATCATGAACAATGTCACTTGAATGATCATTGACAAGATTTGGCAGATACTGAACTTCAAATATATTTGGCATAGGATAAAGTAGTCATTATAAATGCTTACAAGGAACATGACAAACGAAGATTGCTGTCTTGGAATTAGCAGTTTCTGTTTTCAGCATTTATGTTGCCAATGGTAACAGGATGTTTTAAAGAAAAGCTTGATGTACAATATGAAATGTACGAGATTAGCTGGGTTGAATTAGCAACTGGCTATTTTAACTCTTAATGCATTGGGGTGATGTAGAAAATGATGATTATTGTTATTTGTGATATTCACATGGATGACAAATGAAACTACACATTATTAGGGATGAAATGATACAACAAGGTCATGACATGATGCGCGTATCACGATACATAGGAAACGATACAACGCATATCGCTATACATATATTCACATCAAATCAAGGGTATTCTTCTGGACTAAATATTTCAGAGAAAGTTCTGAAGGAAACGCTGTCTGTAGACACACATTTGTCTCAGCTATTTTTTTTTAGTAAAGTTTAAACGCTAATTACAGTTCATTTTACGATATTTGACAGACAGAATTTTAGTAGTAAATTTGAAATGTAATTTCAGTTCATTTTAAGATATTTGACAGACAGAATTTTAGATGGGGAGTGTCATTAAACAATAGTAAGCATTTTAGCAAGTGTATCATTATGTATCAATTTGATAAACACAAAATCATATCAGGTATTGTATTGTTGCATGAAAGCTCACAATGTACCTGTACACCGTTGTATCATTTCACCCCTAAAGATTATCGTCCTAGTTAGTAGTATTCATACGAGCACCGAAAGTACATATGATCCACTGAATTGTTAGTAACTACAAAACTTACTTGATTTCATTCATTTCCAGTGTTGTATATTTACAGTGTTCACATGTGTAGGTGAGATGTACATGACCACAATATTCCTCAGTTACTCCAGACCCACGAAGATTCGCGTTAAAATTGATCTTCAGTAACCCATGCTTGTCGTAAGAGGCGACTGACGGGATCGAGTGGTCAGGCTCCCTTACTTGATCGATACATGTCATCATATCCTAATTATGTATATCAATGCTCATGATGTTGATCACTGGTCCAGACTTGATTATTTACAGACCACCGCCAATTAGATGGAATATAGCTGAGTGTGGTGTTAAACAACAGTTACCCGAGGCTTTTGTTTTGATGACGTAACATTGATGAGATATTTGGTAAACGGTAAATATTGTTTGGACAGACATTCACAGCATCCCCTGAAATAATCCTAAGGCCTTTTATTTCTTCCGGTAACCCTAAAGCTTCGAAAGGTGTTAAACAAATAGTTTTAATCGTTTTCTTATTATTGTGTCGCCTGACAGCAAAAATATTACCATCTTTTGCCTTGCCTTATACAGACTTGTTCTCGTTTACTCACTATTCACATTTAACATTCTTGCCACTGAAAAATTGAGAATTGAAATTATTTTCATCTCTGGTTTTTACAAATTTTAAAATTGAGTAATGGGTCAGATAATTTTTCAGTTTAGTTTGAACACTGACCTAAGGTGTTGAGACACAAGAGATCATATGCCTGAGACACAAGAGATCATATGCCAATATATTATTGCCAATGGTTGTTCTTTGTATTGTAAAAACTGATTATGATTTAAACTTTACGTGATTAATTATGATTTTTACAGTGTATCTGATACCACTGCATCAATAATGTAGAAGTCACGTTGTATATTCTCCAATATTGCAGTTCACATGCTATTCCCTGTCACAGTGGCATTGTAGTCTGTGAGGGTAAATACACTTGTTATTTATTGCGATTAGTTGAAGAAATCAGTGCTTTAGCAGATGTTACCATGGTTACAGCAAAGTTGGTGTTTCTTGATGACTGGAAGTGTTTGAAATCAGTGCTTTACCAAATGTTACCATGGTTACTTAAAAGTTTGTTTTTTCTTGATGACTGGAAGTTTTTGAAATCAGTGCTTTACCAGATGTTACCATGGTTACTGAAAAGTTGGCGTTTCTTGATGACTGGAAGTGTTTGAAATCAGTGCTTTACCAAATGTTACCATGGTTACTTAAAAGTTGGTGTTTCTTGATGACTGACAGTGGTTAAAATCAGTGCTTTAAGTGAAACTATGAAATTGGTGTGTCTTAAAGACTGGAAGATATTCAAGATTCAGTATTTATTCTCTCGGGTTGACGATTTTGAAATTGATTTGACTTTGTAGAATATAGCCAGCATGTGTATATAGTGATGTTATTGTTTAAAATGGCTAGTGTTAATATGGTTGGCCAAAACCATGTATTAAATTAAAAGTGTGGCAAAGTCGGGGTGATTGATTTTTGACTGGCCTTTCATGAATAAGTTTTGACAAAACACAAGAGTTGCAAGGGGTCTTATAAAATGTAACAAATATGGCCTCTATAACAAAGTTATGTTTTAATCATAATAAATTAGTGTCACTTAATGAGTCCCGCAATGCAGAGTTGGAAGAAAGTATTGCAGGTTTCATTTCGGAAATCATTGATCTGTTAAAAGTATGTCAGTACATTCCTGTGTCTGGATTTAGAGATGGAGAATTTCCACTATTTTGTCAGGAATCCAAGTTGAAAGGTAAAACTGTGTAAAATAGGAAATTTTCTGTCTTTTTTGCCAAATTATTAATTTCTGACATTGGGGAAATCCCAGCATGGTTGTCAGCTAAAAATAGACTAATTAGCATGTAGAAATCATTCATCTGTGCACATGGTGGAAGTGATACAATGCAAATTTGTTTATTACACAGGGGACGGTGGGGTAGCCTAGTGGTTAAAGCGTTCACTCGTCACGCTGAACACCCATGTTCAATTCTCCACATGGGTACAATGTGTGAAGGCTATTTCTGATGTCCCCCGCCGTGATATTGCTGGAATATTGCTAAAAGCGGCATAAAACTAATCTCACTCACTATTTATTACACAAGTAGGTGGAGTCGCGGTCAGTGACATGACACACTCTATTGAGGGCAGTTCCATTTGTATTGAACTAAGCATTCACATTGTCATAAACAGAGAAGATCGAGAATATGTAAAATGTCTATTAGCCCTTGACAGAGCAAATATTGCAATCTTATCTTGCCCTGACAACTGAATCATTTGTTATTTATGTCTGATGCCCCTGGTAGGTAAACATGTCGTCTTGAGTGGAGAAAAATGAGGTACTATGTATCTAACAAACAAAAAAAGTTGTTTATGTACTCTACCCTGATATTGTTGGAATATTCCTAAAAGCAGCTTAAAACCATACTCACTTATCAAATACTAAGACCTTTGTACCTTGAGAATTGAGCATTTGTATTCACCATCCTGTTGTAATGTCTACATCTTGTCATGCTATCTGATTAGCAGCTGTGTTCTGCAGATAAAAGTATTACTTTCAGCATAATATGTTGTTAAATCTAAAATTTACAGGGAGGTGGAGTAGCCTAGTGGTTAAAACGTTCGCTCGTCACGCCGAAGACCTGGGTTCGATTCGCCACATGGGTACAATGTGTGAAGCCCATTTCTGGTGTCCACCGCTGTGATATTGCTTGATAAATGCGGCTTAAAACCCATAGTCACTCACTCATACAAATTTTCAAATTACACAAGTGGTAGATGAGTGTTGTAAACATTTATTGCCAAAAAACTTGACACGATTGTAAATTTGCTGAATTTATTTTCTAAAGTATTTGTCATTTAAAATTTTGAATTTTTCATATTCAAGAACTAATAAGTCCTGAGGTTTGCTGGGAAGAAAATTCTAAACTTATGCCTGTTTTTTGTCGTGATAGAAAATCAAATTTGTTTTATGTTTTCAAGGTATAGTATATACCTTGCGTGAAACGATATGGATGTCATTTCCTCTTTTGTTCATTTTGGTATATTGCTGAAAGAAAGTTAAAGATCGCTAATACTTTCGTGTGACAATTGTTAATTTGTCATGCCATGTTAGATTAACTGTTCCAGTGTGAAAGAATGAGTGGTTATTTACTTCGTAGTATACATTCTGTTATTTCAGTTTGAACTTTGGATGCGACATGCCTTTGTGTCAATACTTTTGAGGCTGGCTCTCTTTTAAGACAGTCTGAAGCCAAAGATATCCTGGCATTGTTAATTGTTATTGTGCTGTTAAAAGAAAACATTGTACATTTCACCCCTGTACATTTTTTACATCATATGGATCAGTCATGCGAACCGACACTCCTAAAATGAGGAGTACATTACTCGAGTGTACATAGACGACAATTGTAATCGGTTTGACAACTTACTAATCTATTTCACCTGTTAATTGACGTTACTAATTGTTAATTGACAGGTGAAATCCATACCACTGCTGTTGATGTCCTGTTGTGTTTGATAGTGACGAGATGTATGTTTCAGTGTAGTCTGGTGTATTATATACCAATGAGTTTTCGTGTGGACGGGACTCACCCTTCATTCTCTGGCAAGAACCTGTGAAGATCCAGGTTAGAATTGATCTTCAGTAATCCATGCTTGTCATAAGAGGCGACTAACGGGATCGGGTGGTCAGGCCCGCTGACTTGGTTGACACATGTCATCGTATCCAAATTGTGTGGATCAATGCTCATGATGTTGATCACTGGATTGTCTGGTCCAGACCCAATTATTTTCAGACCGTTGCCACATAGCTGGAATATTGCTGCATGCGGCGTAAAACTAAACTCACTCACTCTCTGGCAAGAAGTACATTGTGTGTATATATTCAGCGCCATCAAGTGTACTTAACAGGTAGAGACTTTGTTTTAGCGTCTATGTTTTGTTTCGTGTTATATTATGGCTGTGCTATATCTGATTTTTTACCAATTACTCTGATGTGATTTTTTCTTCTTTTACAATCAGTGTGTCAGTGAAGCCTGCAATTTTACTGTGCGAAATGTAAGAATGGTTTGTGTTGCGTGAAATTGTTTTAGTAGCGATGAATTATGGTAAGTGTCAGCTGTTTTAATGTTTGAACAAATATTGATGTAGATTTCAAGGTGTTTTTGAGAAGCAGGGGCAGTTTGGCGAGAAATAAGGTGTTATGTTACTGCATGGAATCGAGTGCTAATTATGGTTGATTGTGTTAGATTGTCTGTCATACAGACAAATATCCAAAAGATCACATGCAAGTATAGTTCGGCAAGTCGAGATTTCTTCAGTTTGAAAGTGAGATATTCTTACAAAGTTGAACCAGGTTAATGAAACATTGGTAAAGGATAAAGTTCCTTGTATGCATATGCTACTCAAAAGCACTTAAGGACATCTCCATTCTTTGATAGTAATATAAATATGGGTTGGTTAAAAAACTAAATGTGTTGTGTTTGCATACAGGTATATGTTTCTTTGCTGAGGGAATAATAAGCTTTAAAGTATTAAAAGTTCTGTCAAGATTGCTTGTACTGTGAAACCTACTCCTTTTTAAGATGATTAACTTTAGGCTTTTTTGAGAAATATGCTAGTTTTTTTACTACAGATAATTCAGGCCATTTCGGCTTCTGGGGTAAAAATGGCCCCACGCAGCTTATTGGGTGGTCAGATTTGTGAATTGGGTAGTGAGAATTGTGAATTGGGTGGCCAAGTTTGAGCCAGACCACCCGATCATGTCAGTCACCACTCACGACAGGCATGGATTGCTAAAAACCCATTCAAATCAATTCACAATCTTCACTTGGGCTTCATAAGTGCATTCATAAATATATTCATAACTGTAAGCTTATAATCTTTTCTCTAATTAGGATGAATGATTGGGGATGAGGGAAGAGAGAGCTGGGTATATAAACTTACATGTGAGCATCTATGTTCATTTATACTCACAAATAAGTTTATACTTCATCTTTACTGGAGAGACAAAAATTAGTGTTTAGAGTGTCACAGTTTGAATTCGGGACCTAACTTCCTCTGTTGCTATCCCTGATGTATCCCTGCAAGATATGGGGACTGTAAGCCAGGAAACCAGTGTTGAGTTAGGTACTCAATATAAGCCTGATTATGGTAATGAAATAAGAGACTGATCATTGGTTGTGACTTTAG